GAGGCGGCGAGTAGCGGCGAAGTCAGTGACAGCAACACTAAGAGCTGAGGCAGAGGACAGAGAGGCACGAGGGTCCGTAACAAGGGAAGCGAGAACACGAGAGAGAACATGACAGTACGTGCGGTAGTAGTCAGTGACAGGAGTAGAGGAGGAAGCAGTGAGGGATGACCCCGGAGGGGAAGGATGCACAACAGAGAAGGACGAGGTGGACTAGAACGAAACCAAACAATATAAAGGTCAGTGACAGGGGACGAGGGACGAGCACGAGGAGAGCGAGAAGCCCAAGTGTGAGAAAGAGGAGGAGGGGACGAATGAGTTTGAGGACGGGGGAAAACAGCCGGGGGAGGAGTCAGGAGGAGGAAACGTGGGACCATACACAAGAGGAGAGGAGGAGCACGTAGGAGGAGAAGAGGGAAGACCAAGGGCCCGGAGGCCAGTGACAGGGGTCGAGGGCGGCTGCTGCTGCTGCTGCTGCTGCTGGTGCTGGTGGTGGTGGTGCTGCTGCTGCTCCAGCTGCTGAAGCTCCCGCTGCCGTTGCACCAACTCCAGCCTCTCTCGCTCCAACCTCCGCTGCTCCTCATGCCCAAGTTGAAGAAGAGCCTGGTGCCGGGTCGGGTAGGGGCGGGGAGGAGGAGTAGCGTCCGGAGACGCAGTAGCCCCAGCTCCGCTCTCCACAGCACCAGTCGTACCACCTCTAGAACAAGCACCCTCAGCGGCAACGCGACTAGTCCCAGTCTCTCCAGGTCCAGAAGAAGGTGCACCCGCACCCCCAGGCGTAGCACCTCTAGGGTCAGCCCCACCAACTCCAGCACCCCCAAAACCAGTACCTCTGGCAGGCGCACACTCAACTCCAACTCCAACACCCCTAGAGCTAGCACCTCCAGGGTGCTCACCACTAACTCCAGTACCCTCAGAGTCTGCAGTAGCCTATGGAGGAAGTGCTGACGGCTGCTGCGGTGACTGTGGAGAAGGGGACGGGACGTGAGGGGCTACCGAAGGGGGGGGGGGGGCGTGCGACACACTAGATGGGGCTGGATTAGGGGGGGGAGGGTGTACCGGAGGGGCAGCAGAAGCGGGAGCCAGAAAGAGGGGGAGGGAGGGGGGGGGACGGCGAGGGGGAGAACCGGGAGACCTCGACAGAGGTAACAGGTGTAATAAGGGACTGACTCATCGAAACGGACGTTACGAGAGCCAAAGAACTGGTAAAGGGGAGGGTGGTAAAAGGTGAAATCGGAGTAGTCCTCTGGGAAACCAAGAAAGACATAGGGAAGGGCGCGAGGCGAGAGCTTGTCCGCGGAGGTGTCGCGAACAAGCGCCAAGCAGCCCCAGACACGAAAGCACGACGCAACACCAGGGGACCCGGTCCAAAGACTGGTTGGTAAAACCCCTGGCCGGGAGACACGAGGCCAGAGGTTCACTTGGTGAGCGGCGTACCGAACCGCGTAGGGCCACAGAAAATGGGGCGCACGGGCATGGATCATGGAGGTGCGTGCAATCTTCATAACCAAGCCTATGCAGCGCTCAGCTACCCCATTCCGCTGTGGAGACTTTGGAAGGGTCCAAGACTGGGCGATGCCCTGCTTGGCACAGAATCTGGCGAGAACGCCGGAGCGAAACTCACCCCCGCGGTCGGAGTGAATACAACTGACACGACGGTGACGAGTACCTTCTGTGGCAAGCAACCATCGAATCAGCGTAGAAGTCACGTCAGACTTCTTCACCAAAGGGAAAACGGTGGTGTAGCGAGAGTAGTCGTCGACGACCACCAGAAAGAAACTCTCTTGCTCAAGACCAGGGCGAGAGGCAGGGCCCCAGACGTCCAAGTGGAGAGTCTCGAAGAGGGCGGTGGCTGGACGAAGGGAGGAGGAGTGAGGGGTGGCACGGAGCCGACCCTCCACGCAAGGGCCGCACGGTAAAGGCAAAGACACGGGCTGCAGGGTGCACGCGAAGGCGGCAGCGACGGCAAGACACGTGGGAGGTTTTAGACAAGACGTTGAGTGGACATAGTGCGTAGGCGGGGAAGGGACGGGTGACCAAGTCAGTGGTGCCACAAGATTGTGGGGTGGGCAAGCGACCTATACGAGCACGACGCAGCAACCTGACCGGATGTCATAACCTGACCAGACACAGTTACCTGGCGGGACGTAGCTACCTAGCGGTGCGCTTGGACCTGACGGGGGGTAGTGACAGGGGTCGGAGACAGCGGCTGCTGCTGCTGCGGCTGCTGCTCCAGCTGCAACCTCTCTCGGGGGCCAGTGTGAAGCGTGTAGAGACCAGAACCTGGCTCCTGGCGAAAGGTGGCCAGGGGGGCGTACGTGTCGCCGTCCAAACAGGTCGCATAGTCCCTTGAAGGCTCAAACCAGACACGAACGTGCCGACTAACCAGTGGCCTCACGCCCACCAAGTTCCTAGAGAACGAGGGGACGTGGAGGCCTGTCAGGGAACCTGAGGGGGCGGCCGGGCACTGGAGTGTAGTAGAGTGGCGAGCAATGACTGGTCTCGAAGCGGGAACAGCCAGTGCTATAAAGACTCGTGCAGGAAGCGGAGTAAGAGTCGTGTGGTCGCGGAAGAAACACTGCGACGCAACGGAGTCCAGCGTGAAAGACAGCGACGCGTCCGCCGAAGTGGCACCTGGACTAGCGCCTAAACAAACACCTACATTAGCAACGGCCACAGGATCAACACCAACACCTAAGCTATGAACACGCGAGCAAGTACACAGATCCAGGAGCACTATAGTCAACATCAGCATACATAGCATGCACAGAACCTAGCAGATCAAACAACTGAGATGCAGACATGTCTCACAAAGCGGGACCGTGCGAGTGAACAAGAGGAGCCAGTTAGGCGCAGGGCGGTCTGCACCGTACGACGCACGAAGACAGTCGGTAAGCTGAGCAAAGCACTAGCCCGGTGGGTGACGGCAGCCGCAGTGGTAGCCACTACGAGTACCGGTCTGAATGAAGTACGGGCAGGGCGGGTGGGCATCGCCACGTGACAGCGGATGCTGGCCTATACGCTGCTGCTGTTCCTGCTGCTGCTGCTGCTGCTGCTGCTGCTGTTGTGGCTGCTGCGAGCGCGAGGGCTGCTGCTACTGCTTCTGCTCCGGCTGCTGCTGCTGCCAATAAGCCATGTACCAAGCTGCCACTCCTGGCCTCCGGCTGGCAACCTTGCAGGTCCCTGATCACCCCTAGTGTCACCTCCACCAGCCGCAGCACGCAAGCCACTAGTGGGTGTACAAGGCTCGTCGCCAGCTCCTCCGCTTCCTCCATCACCGTTGGCCGCCCCACCTCCGCCGCCTCCGCTACCTCCTCTACTGCTCGCACCCTTGCCGCCCCTCCTGCCACCCCTGCCCCTGGACCTCGCAAAGGTCGTGGCAGCGGCCTCGGTCTCGTCGGTCGCGGTAGAGGCAAGGGAGGCAGTAAAGGTGGGTAGCTGTGGGACAGTGCACCCCTGAAACACTAGGGGGGGCACAGCGCCCGAGGCGGAAGCTACCGAGCGGAGGATGCTCTCAATGTCCTTAAGCGCAGTCTCAAGGACGTCGATAGTGAGCTCGCTAGGGTGCTTCAGCAGAAGCGCGTTGCGAACAGTGGCAAGGCGGCTAGAGAGGCTAGTGACGATAAAATAAAGAGTGATCGCCATAGGGGGGGGGAAGCAGTGCGAGCTATGAGTCGGTATACGCAGCGCGGTAGCTCAAGTCTAGCGAATGCAGGTGAGTGATCAAGTCAGCAGAGCGCTCAAAGGAGGCGAGGTCAGGAAACAGGAATGAGAGGAACAGGCGACCAAGTGAGACAGTGGTGGGAGTGGAGTAGCGGGCCTTCATCGCAGTGAGTAACTCTCTAGCAGAACGAACCCGAGTGAAGTGGGCCTCCTCAGACTCAGGGAGGAGGCTGCTGAGGGCGACGCAGGCCGCTGCGTCGCGAAACTTCCAAGCTCTAAGGGCAGCCCGCTCTCGTGCAAAGCGCTCCATGTCTGCAACAGTGGGGTCAGTGCCTAGTGCAGCTGGGGCAGGAGGTGCAGGGAGGTCACCGGAGGCGTGTGCCCAGAGGGTCTCGTCAGCTTGACACTGACTCTCTAGTAGGCATGAAGAAGCCAGACTGAGAACTCTAGTGGTCTTCCCTCGGCATCGAAGCGGAGAACTCTAGGGGCCGCCATAGCTGACTATATAGGGGGGGAGATGCGGCTGCCAGCCGCCGAGAAAGCCTGAGCAAGGCGGGCAGGCTGCGCACGACGGGCAAGTCGAAGGGCGGGACGCGATCGGTAGGGCGCAGGGCGCGACGGCAGGGCGTAGGGCGCAGCCGGGACAGGCGCGACACGGCAGTGCGCGGGCGCAGGAACGGACGCGACAGGCAGGGCGATGGCCACGGGCAGAACGGGCAGGGCGCTAAGGGCGCGGGCGGGCAGGGCGCAAGGGGCACGGTCACGCAAGGCGCTGACGGGCAGGGCGCAGGGCGCGACGATCAGGGCGCTACGGGCGCGACGGGCAGGGCGTTACGGGCGGGACGGGCGGGGGCAACGGGCGCGACGGGCAGGGCCCTACGAGCTGGGTGCGACGGGCGCGACGAGCGTTACGGGCGCGGCGGGTGCTACAGGCGCTACGGGCGCAACGGACAGGGTGCGGATCCTAGTCTAACCTAACTAATACCATCTCAGAATGGGAAAGGATGATGTCACTAGAATCAGTTGGGGGTGCATATGACAAACCCTGAAGTTTGTACCCCACATCACATGCCTCACTACTGTCTATCACATTTGACAGTTTCTGCCTGTAGAATATGTTGTGATCACAGTTTTGTTATTCGTTATTCCACGCACATTCTTGCACACTTCATAACACAGAAGAGCAGTGTCCCTCAACAATCTTTTTCACGAATATTAATAACGTAAATGCCGGTGCCAGTCCCTGTCGTCACATGGCGAATACTCGTACCAGTCCCTGCCTCGAAGAAATCCCTTAAGGCAAGCAGGGTGCGTGGGCTTGGGCCTATCGCACGTGACTTTCAAGTGGCGCAGCGACGAGAAGGACGAGAGGAAGGGCGGGAGAGAGTGCAGGCGGCGCCAGTGCAGCAGGTCGAGGCGAGTGAGCGGGAGAATTGAGCGAGTGAGGGCGGGAGGCGAGGCAGGTCGGAGAAGCAGATCTGAAGTGTGGAGAGGAGAGGTGGGCAGGAGAGGTAGGGCTCAGAGCAGCCTCGGGTGATGTTGGAGAGGCGGAGGGTGCGCAGGGAGGAGAAGCAGGAGAGGGCGGCAAGGAAATCCCGGTAGTCTGCATTGTCCACAATGAGAGTGGTGAGCGCCGTGAGCTGCATCAGCTCATGCTCTCGGTCACCAGGGTCTTTAGGCAGACTAACAGAGCCTAATTGCAGGAAGCGGAGGTTAGACAAGAAACCGCTCTCCACCTCCCAGTACACATTGACTTGGCCTGCCAGTACCATGTGTTCTAGGGCTGGGAAGAGTGCCAAGTCCACCCGAGAATCGCACGGGCAGACTAACTCCAGGTGTAGCAGCTTGAGCTTCCGGAAGCTCAACCCTGTGGTGCTTCCTCTGCTGCAGAGAGTGGCATAGTCAAAATCAATGTGCAGCTGCTCCAAAGAGTGCGCCACAGCAGCCATCAGCCTGGTCATGTCCGGTCTCACAATTGTAGCTTTGCATGCGGAGGCAGCGGAGGCGGGGCAAGCGGGGAAGGTGCTCTTGAGAGAAGCTGTCGCACCAGAGGGAAAGCTCCCGCAGGCGAGTGAGGAGAGAGAGGCCGTGGTGGAGTGAGCAGGATCGGGTGGTGGAGCCTATCCCAGCGGCATCGGAGGATCCGAGGGAGAGGGAGGTGAGGCGAGTGAGGTGGCGAACGAGTGGGGGGAAAGAGCAGCAGCGGGAGAGCGTGAGAGAAGAGAGGTTGCAGAGAGGCAGCATTGTGTTGTGGTGAATGCTTGAAGCACTGGTTGAGTTGTGGAGTTCACCCTCATCATGATCATCGCACCAAGCATCCTCATCTCCGTTGGGGCACGAATCGGCATCGCATCAACCATCCTCATCTCCCTCGCCCCTTCCATTCTCCTCAACTGCGCCATCCTCCCATCTCTCTCCATCCCACTCCTCCTTTCCCACCCCTCCGTCTCCCTCGTCCTGCCCTCCATCTCCCTCGTCCTGCCCTCCGTCTCCCTCGTCCTGCCCTCCCTGCAGCCCCGGAATCCAGAGGTTGGTGGCGAGGAGCGTGAGGGCAATGAGCGAGGAGAAGGAGGCGGGCATGGTGGTGGTGGGGAGGTGCAGGGAGAGGGACGAGAGGCACGACAGCAGGCCCAGCAGCAGGCCCTCTGACAGCCCACTCCACCTGCTGTCATCCAAAGACACGTCGCTGCAGCTGCTGATGTCATTCTCGCACACGTGGATTGAGAGGGAGCGGAGGCAGGAGAGGCGGGCGAAGGGAGAGGAGTGGGCGAGCTGGGGAGGCATGTGCCCCTCAGGGAGGGCGAGGGAGAGTGAGGTGAGGCGAGGGAGGCGGAGGAGGGAGGAGGGGAGGCGGGAGAGGGGGAGGGAGAGAGAGGTGAGATGCGTGCAGCAGAGGAAGAGAGAGAGGGGGAGTTTGAGCCAGTGGGCGACGTTCTCTCCCTGAATGCGCAGCTCTTTGAGACCGCGGCACCCCTTCAGCACAGCAAACAGCCCCCTCTCCACCTCGCTGTTCGTCTCACCCCACCATTGCCGCACCTCCCTCTCCCTCTCCTCCTCAGGCATCTCCCACAGCTCGTCCCGCCCGTACCCCCATTCGCCCTCTCCCCTGAAGCCCGGCTCTAGCAGCACGGACAAGGAGGTGAGGGCGGGGAGGGCGGCGGCAGCAGAGAGGAGGGAGCGTACATGGGAGGGGCGGAGGGGGTGAGATGCGGTGGAGACTATGGGGAGGAGGAGTGCAGAGAGGTTGGGGTAGAGCGTGAGGGTGTGGGCGAGGGAGGAGGGGGAGGGGAGCGAGGCCAACCAGATGGGGGGGAATTCTGAGTTCCAATTGGTTCGATAGTGGCGGGTGAAGCAGGAGGAGAGAGAGGAGGGGGTGATGGGATGGGAGAGGGTGGGGGGAGGCGGGCAGGAGGGGAGCAGGGAGAAGGTGTGGGAGGTGGGGGAGGAGAGGAGAACGCAGAAGGAAGAGAAGGCGGGGTGCCATGCTATGTGGAGAAAGACGCTGGGGGCGTCCTGCGTCCTGCGTCCGGACGCAACGTCCGGACGTAGAGACGCAGGACGCGCGTCCGGACGCAGGACGCACGGTAAGAATTTTTTCGGGCAGACCGAAAATAAAAATCTTGATCGCGAAATTTGACATTCGCGATTTCGTCGCGAATGTCATTCTCGCCAAATTTTGACCCCCCTAACCAATTTCGACCCCCCAAAACAGCCAACCCCTTTTCTAACCCCTTAATGCAAAATTGAGTTGAGTTGAGAATCCCAACCCTCTCAACCACTCCACATCTAGAAAACCCAACCAATGTGGCCCACCACCACCACCAAGCCTATTTAGTGCTAGAAACCTCTCATTTGTGCTCACTCTTTGTAGCAAACCAATTCTCCTTCGAACACCCTAGTGGTTTAAGCTCCTTTGCGCGCACGTCCATTATGGCTAGCTCTAGCAATTCCGCGTCTTCTACCGCATCGAAGGATGTCATTCCCGACGGCGATTCTCCCCCCAAACGTTTTACTAAGGATTGCGAGGAGAAAATACCGCAAAACCCTACTCACCATATTTTTAGGCACTATTGGACGTTCGATGATCCGACCAAGAAGGAGAAGCAGTGCGAGTGCCTTTGGTGCGGAAAATCGTTCGCCTTTAGTAGTAGCCGATGCACCCAGCATCTCGCCGTATGGAATGACGCGAACGTGCGGATGTTCCTAAGCGCATTTCTGACGCCATTCGCGACGTGAAGGAGAACAAGATTACGGCGCGTATTGACAAGGAGAGGGCGACGGCATCGGCGCTCAATGCAGTGAGCGGCCAAGGCGGTGCGGGACCGAAGGCTAAGAAGGGGCGCATGGAGGATTGGTACGGCGAGGGGGGGAAAGCGGCGACACGTGTGGCCGACGAGGCGATTTGCCTCTACATCGCGGGGACGCGCACGTCGGAGCGTCAGTGCGAGCACCCCCTCTTCCTCAACATGCTGCGCGCCGTTGCTGCCGCTGGAAACACCTACGTCCCCCCCAAGCGTGACTACGTTGGCGGCATCGGGCTGCAGGAGTGCAAGCGGCGGATTGAAGCGGGATTGGAGCCCATTACGAAGACTTGGAAGGAGACCGGCGTGTCGATTGCGAGCGATATGATGCGGGATAAGAGCGGGCGCGCGCAGATGAATATCATTTGTATCAACGACAGCGGCGCGGTTTTCTAGGAAGCGGTCGACTGTAAGGCGGAGACGAAGAGTGGGGCATTCATTGTGAGCATCCTGCAGCCGATCATCGAGAAGATTGGGCCGCAGCACGTCGTCGCTTTTTGCACGGACGGCGACAGCAACTACGTGTCCGCCGGCAAGCTGCTGCAGAAGATATACCCGCATCTCGAGATCGTCCCCTGCGCCACTCATGTGCTCGACTTGCTGATGGAGGACATCGGCAAGATGGATTGGGCGCAGGAGGTTGTCCCGGTTGCGAACGACATCATCTCGTTCGTGCGCAGCCACACGTGGACGCGTGCCTTCTTGCAGTGTCCCGAGCTGCACGGCGAGGAGAGGTCGCTGCAGCCGCTGCGACCGGCGGGCACGCGTTTTGGGACAAACTTCATCGCTGTGTCTCGGCTGCTCCAGATTTGTTCGCGGCTGACGCAGATGGTGACGCACAAGGACTGGGAGGAGAAGGGAGGTAGCACGCTGACTGGAAAGACATTTGCGGCGTCAGTGTTGGATGTGAAGTGGTGGAAGAAGGCAGAGACATTTGTGAAGATGATGGAGCTGCCTTACAAGGCGATGAGGCGGACTGATGGGGAGGCGAAGGGGAGGATGGGTGAGTTGTACGACATCATGCTGCAGCTGACGGAGGACTTGCGGGAGCTGTTGGAGAAGGATGATTCTGGGCTCTAGAGGGTGGATAAGGAGGGGGTGAAGGAGCACTGGAGGCGGCGTTGGGACGAAAGTTTGGCCTGCCCCCTTCACGTGGTTGGCCGGATTCTGAACCCGGCCAACCACGAGGAGGGGATCTACCACAAGGACGTTGAGTGCAATAGGGTGATGAAGGCGTGGCTCCAGCGCTCGCGGACATTCGTCGACAAGTATTGGAAGAGCGGCGGCGACACAAAGGGAACCATGAAGGCGCTGCAGGAAGGGATGCTTGCATATATTGAGGGCAAGGGGTGCTTCGGGTCAGAGGAGGCAAAAGAGGGGCGTGCGGATATTAAGGCCGGGAGGGGGGACATGGTGACGTGGTGGAAGGTGAACGGCTGGGAGTACGCCGACCTGGCTGGCCTTGCGTGCCGGGCGCTTTCACAGCCCGTTTTCGCTTCCCCTTGCGAGCGGGGATGGTGTGAGTGGGATGGCGTGCACACGGCGCGCAGGAACAGGATGGGGTCGGAGAAGGTCCGCGACCTTGTGTTCGTTGCGCACAACTGGAACGCTGTGCACAACTACCACAAGGGTGCGGCTAGTGCAGGGCCAAGTCGGGAAGTCAGGAAGATGGGGATAGTGGAGGGGAACATTCCCACCTCTTCCCTTCCCGAGGGGCACAAGCTGGAGGAGGATGGAGAGGTGGAGGTGGACGAGGACGACCCGTGCGTGGACGAGTACAAGGACCAGGAGGACATGGAGAAGGAGGAGGAGGAGAAGGAGAGCAATGAGGATGAGGATGAGTGATGCATGTTAGTGTTAGTATGCATGCAAAACCATGATAGGATTATTTGTGACATTGGAGATTTGCATCTCACCATGCTCAAAAACTTTTGGGGAAAATTTTGTCTTTGGGGTTAAATTTTGCAATGAAAGTGGGCTACGGCTCTATTCCCCTACTTCCCTCTGCCCTATAACTAATTTTTTGGGCTGCCTGGGGTTTTTTTTGCCTGCCCGGGCCTGCGTCTTTTGCTGCGTCTCATCAGCCAGAATCTTGCGTCTTGCGTCTGGACGCATGCGTCCTAGACGCAGGACGCGTCTTTCTCTACATAGGTGCCATGAGAGGGACGAAAGAGGGGAGCTGGCGTGAGCTGCCATCCCATGGCTGCTTCTCCTGCTGCCGCCTCTGCAGCCCGGGTTCAGAGTGGGAAGGGGGGGGAGGGGGGTGGAGCAGGGCGAGGGGGAGGCAGGAGAGCAGGAGGGGGTGGAAGGCGAGGGCGAAGGAGGTGTGCAGGCGGCACCACTGGCGCCACTCACGGCACAACCCTCTCACGCTCGCCTCGTCCCCATGCAGCTGAATCCGCTGGAACACACATTCCAGCACCTCCGCTGGTACCGCCTCTGCTGGTAACACCTCTGCTGGTAACACCTCTGCTGGTAACACCTCTGCTGGTAACACCTCTGCTGGTAACACCTCTGCTGGTAACACCTCTGCTGGTAACACCTCTGCTGGTAACACCTCTGCTGGTAACACCTCTGCTGGTAACACCTCTGCTGGTAACACCTCTGCTGGTAACACCTCTGCTGGTAACACCTCTGCTGGTAACACCTCTGCTGGTAACACCTCTGCTGGTAACACCTCTGCTGGTAACACCTCTGCTGGTAACACCTCTGCTGGTAACACCTCTGCTGGTAACACCTCTGCTGGTAACACTCTGCTGGTAACACCTCTGGTGGTAACACCTCTGCTGGTAGCACCTCTGCTGGTAACACCTGGTAACACCTCTGCTGGTAACACCTCTGCTGGTAACACCTCTGCTGGTACCGCCTCTGCTGGTAACACCTCTGCTGGTAACACCTCTGCTGGTAACACCTCTGCTGGTAACACCTCTGCTGGTAACACCTCTGCTGGTAACACCTCTGCTGGTAACACCTCTGCTGGTAACACCTCTGCTGGTAACACCTCTGCTGGTAACACCTCTGCTGGTAACACCTCTGCTGGTAACACCTCTGCTGGTAACACCTCTGCTGGTAACACCTCTGCTGGTAACACCTCTGCTGGTAACACCTCTGCTGGTAACACCTCTGCTGGTAACACCTCTGCTGGTAACACCATTGCTGGTAACACCTCTGCTGGTAACACCATTGCTGGTAACACCTCTGCTGGTAACACCTCTGCTGGTAACACCTCTGCTGGTAACACCATTGCTGGTAACACCTCTGCTGGTAACACCTCTGCTGGTAACACCTCTGCTGGTAACACCTCTGCTGGTAACACCTCTGCTGGTAACACCTCTGCTGGTACCACCACTGCTGGTAACACCTCTGCTGGTAACACCTCTGCTGGTAACACCTCTGCTGGTAACACCTCTGCTGGTAACACCTCTGCTGGTAACACCTCTGCTGGTAACACCTCTGCTGGTAACACCTCTGCTGGTAACACCTCTGCTGGTAACACCTCTGCTGGTAACACCTCTGCTGGTAACACCTCTGCTGGTAACACCTCTGCTGGTAACACCTCTGCTGGTAACACCTCTGCTGGTAACACCTCTGCTGGTAACACCTCTGCTGGTAACACCTCTGCTGGTAACACCTCTGCTGGTAACACTGCTAGTAACACCTCTGCTGGTAACACCTCTGCTGGTAACACCTCTGCTGGTAACACCTCTGCTGGTAACACCTCTGCTGGTAACACCTCTGCTGGTAACACCTCTGCTGGTAACACCTCTGCTGGTAACACCTCTGCTGGTAACACCTCTGCTGGTAACACCTCTGCTGGTAACACCTCTGCTGGTAACACCTCTGCTGGTAACACCTCTGCTGGTAACACTCTCCTGGTAACACCTCTGCTGGTACCACCACTGCTGGTAACACCTCTGCTGGTAACACCTCTGCTGGTAACACCTCTGCTGGTAACACCTCTGCTGGTAACACCTCTGCTGGTAACACCTCTGCTGGTAACACCTCTGCTGGTAACACCTCTGCTGGTAACACCTCTGCTGGTAACACCTCTGCTGGTAACACCTCTGCTGGTAACACCTCTGCTGGTAACACCTCTGCTGGTAACACCTCTGCTGGTAACACCTCTGCTGGTAACACCTCTGCTGGTAACACCTCTGCTGGTAACACCTCTGCTGGTAACACCTCTGCTGGTAACACCTCTGCTGGTAACACCTCTGCTGGTAACACCTCTGCTGGTAACACCTCTGCTGGTAACACCTCTGCTGGTAACACCTCTGCTGGTAACACCTCTGCTGGTAACACCTCTGCTGGTAACACCTCTGCTGGTAACACCTCTGCTGGTAACACCTCTGCTGGTAACACTCTCCTGGTAACACCTCTGCTGGTACCACCACTGCTGGTAACACCTCTGCTGGTAACACCTCTGCTGGTAACACCTCTGCTGGTAACACCTCTGCTGGTAACACCTCTGCTGGTAACACCTCTGCTGGTAACACCTCTGCTGGTAACTGCGACTGGTTGTGCGAATGAGGATTCGAGGCACTTTCGTACTGTGGCGAGCCTCTCACCTCCACCTCCTGCCCCGCTTGCATCTCCTCCCCTTCCCCTTCCCCCACCTCCTCCCCTTCCTCCCCCCTTTCTCCCTCTCCTTCCCCCTTTCCTTCCCTTTTCCCTTCCCCTTCCGCACCCCCCTCCCCTGCCTCCTCCCGCTCCCACGTTTTCCCCCGGAGGTACTCCTGGTGGCGGCAGGGCAGCACAGGGTCGTAGTCGCGGCCAAAGGACACGTGGGTGAGGGAGGAGAAGGCGGAGAGGCAGGCGGGCAGGGCGAGGGGCTTGGAACACTGGAAGAGGTGGAGGCGAGTGAGGGAGGAGAAGAGGCGGAGGGGGTCGGGGAGGAGAGGAAGGTGGGAGAAGCAGATTTGGAGGGATTTGAGTGAGGGAGGGCAGGAGAGCGCGGACTGGTAGTTGTGCGTGGAGAGGTTGAAGATGCGGAGGGCAGTGAGGGAGGGGAAGAGGGAGAGCGAGGAGAGGAAGCGCGAGGAGTGAGGGTAGGATCCCACTATGAGAGTGCGCAGGGGCGGCAGCACGGGGAGGGGGGCGGGTGGGGGGGAGTGGATGCGGAGGAAGGTGAGGTTGGGGAGGAGGGGCGGGAGGATGGTGGGGGCGTGCGTTGGGGTGGGGGGGTCTGAAAGCGAGTGGGTGTGGTCGATTGCCAAGTGGGTGAGGCGGGGCAGCCAACCCATGAATGCCAGAGTGTGCCCCTGCTTCTGCTGCCCTTGCTGCTGTTGCCGCTGATGATGATGTGGGCCTGTGTGCTCTGTGCCTGTGTGCTGCGATGCATGGGTGGTCACGTTGCGCAGCACAAGCTCCTCGAGGGAAGGGAAGAAGCACGCAGCTGCCTCCTCTGCTGCACCACATGCGCCCTCCCCCTCACCACATGCGCCCTCCCCCTCACCACATGCGCCCTCCCCCTCACCACATGCGCCCTCCCCATCACCACATGCGCCATGCCACACGTCCCCCTTCCCAGAACCCTCCGCCAGCTGCTCCCCCCACCTCCGCACAGCCACGTGGGGCGAGCCCTGGATCTTGAGCGAGAGCAGCTGCGGGCACAGGCGTCCCCACACAGCCAATGGGATGACGCCAGCTATCCCCATGAGAGTGACGTGGCGGAGGGAGCTGGAGGAAGGAGTTGCTTCGGGGTTAGGGGGAGGTTCGGTGAGACCAGTTGCAGGTTCGGTGGGACCAGGCTTGGTGCGGCAGATGGTTTGTTCTGGCGGCCCCTCACCATTGACGTGCAGATGGGACAAGCGGGGCCAGTGGGAGAAGAGAGCGAGCGAACCGGGGGAGAGCAGAGGGGAGGCGAAGGGGATGGAGAGGCGAGTGAGGGAGGAGAGGGAGGAGAGGCAAGGAGGGAAGGTGCGGTGAGAGAGGAGGGAGAGAGAGGTGAGGTTAGGGAGGGAGGAGAGGCACTGATGGTGGTGGCGCTCGTGCTGGTGTGAGGAAGGGTCGGGGTCGTAGGAGGAGGAGCAGCAACAGCAACAGCAGCAGGAAGAGGAGGGGGGGATGGAGATGGAGTGCGAGGCGTGGGGTGGGAAGAGGGTGTTGAGGCCAGTGCAGTCCCAGGCGCCTCCCACGTTGGTGGTCAGCATCGCGGAAAAGGGAAGTGCGAAAAAAAACCTAAAAGTTTCGGTTTCGTAACTTTCCAGTTGCATTTTCCGCGCAAGAAAAAAGTTTGACTCGTAAACAGTGGTAGCGTCAGTAACTTGCGAAGTGACTTTCCCGTCACATTCCCAACACAAACTGTACACTTCGGTGCAATTGTGAGGTATACGGTAAAGCATCTAGGGGGGTGGAAAACGTCACCCTTGAGCAACCTACGCGAAAGTGTCACGACATCGCCACGTGGCATACCACAAACTATACATGAAACTCAAACATGCTGACGTGGCTGCCTGCGTACGCTTGCGACAGCCGTCGGATTAGATTAAATCGACGCACAAGAACTCACCTTGTGGACCAATCAGAGGGCATTTCGGTCCGCAGAAACGATCTCTAATTGGATAACAATTCGATTCTTTTTTTTATATATATTTTCCGTTACGATACAGCCTTCAAATGCATGAGCGCATATACTTTAATAAAACAACATCGTTTCATACAATTTGACTGTACTACTTCTCCAACCACCATAACTAAACATCCTACAGCAAACCTACAAATCACAACCACCGTCTGGGTGCTGCATGTTGATGAGTGCCTGCAAGAAAGATAGCAAGGTTATGCTTGTACAACATGTACTTCAAGTAGGCAGTTCAGCACTCACCAGATACTTACACTGTGGTAAGAAGTGTACTGTAAAGGTTAAAAATATTCTTAGCGCAGTTCTGCTTGTCGTTAAGCCTGCGCACAGAAATTTCTCAACCGGGATTAGTGGTAAACGAGTTTGCAACTCACCAACCGTTGCATTCTACCTCGAGTGCGATGCAGTTGCGACAGGCTTGGTCGCAACATGAGCCTGCAGAAGTCGCGTAAAAAAAAAAAAAAAAAAAAAAGATGCAACTACACGAGGCAGGGCCCTACCGTGCAGTTATGGCATTACAGATCGGCGAACAAGACACGCAGGACAAAAAAACACCTAGATAAAAACGTCTACCTCAGCAGCAATACAAATACCTATTTCACTGATAAATCTGCCGAACCGGCGCTTTCGCATCGCTAGCACGTCTGTCATCCGCGCTATGACTGAAAGACTCCGATCTGCACTTGGGAGTGGGAGGTACCGTTAGCATCTCCACCTCTCACAGTTTCACGCACGTGAAAACTATCGGAGGACTTCGCAAAGATGGTTCCTAAACCCAAACCGGAACATGTGGAACATGAATGTCGTCCTAACCAGGGATAATAATACCTTACGTAACGGATAATTGCAGCAGTCGAAAATGATCCTCACCGTCAACTTGGTGCGTGCACGTCGTCCTTGGAAACGCTGAAAATCGTCGACCTGCAAAGGGAAGTTGGAGGTTGCGAGAGGAAGGGAGGAGGTAATTAGACTGGATGAAGGCAAGCGGTTTTAAAAGGGAGAAGAGTATGAGATCACTTGTAGAAAAAACGACGGAGAGCGCGGAGAATAACGACATGCAGATCCAGTAAGAGCAGATCTAGTTAGCAGGAACTTGAGTAGTGGTGTTCGGAAATTTGAAAAAGAGATTGAGAATGAGGTTATGGGTTGGGTGAGGGGATTTGTGTGGGAAGAATGATCGGCGTTGTGGGGAATGTTGGGTAGGGGAAGCTATGTCCTTTCAGAAAAGCTGGGGTGGCGGGGGGTGTGCATATTAGGTGGACGGCAAGTTTGGTTGGATGTGCTGACGTGTACGGAACGGAGGGTGTAGATTGCTTCAAAATGTACAGCAAGAACAATGATTGGTTGTAAAATATTGTACTTGATAACACGTCACCTGGGTTGGTGGTTCAGGTCCAGATATGATATTTTCAGTAAGCTAGGTATCCATGTTTACAACCTCACTAGAGTTCGTGGGGTTGTGCTGATTTCGCGAGTACAGTTCTTCCATCTGACATTCGGTGCCACCGTGCGTAACCGCAGGTTATCGTTCTTGACCTGTGGAACTGTAGACCTGATGTTCAAGGCACTTTCGCGTGACTTTTTGGCGCCAGTGAAAACGAACGATAATGGTGTACGGAAATTTGCGATTTCGGATCGTTGGTTTTTGGACGCTTAGCGCAACAAAACCGCAAACTTTCCGTAGAAAAACCTTCGGACCACCAATTTAGACATTTTCTTTTTCCGCGATGAGGTGCTGCAGGCGTGTGAGCGACCAGAGCGACGCAGGAAGCCACCCACCACCTCGTCCTCCCTCGCCCACTCATCCCCCACCCATCCGCCCTCCTCCTCCTCCCCACTCCTCCCCATCCCCCCTTCCCCACCATCCTCTCCCTCATCCGCCCCCTTCTGCTTCGCATGCACCAGGAAAGTCAAGGACCGCAGGCTCCGGCCGAGCCCCACAAACAGGTCCGGCGAGAGAGGCTCGGAAAGCACTGAGGCGGGAGAGGCGAGGGAGAGGTGGAGGAGGGAGAGGAGGGGGAGAGAGTGGAAGGGGCGACCGGAGAGGAGGAGGGGATGGTGGGGTGCAGAGAGGGAGAGACGGAGAGAGCGGAGGGAGGAGAGGTGGGGAAGGAGGTTAGGTGGGAGGTCGGAGAGAGGGAGGGAGAGGTGGGTGAGACGGGAGAGGAGGGGAAAGACCTCTTCTCTTATAGTGAGGTATTCATCAGAATTGAGGTGGAAGTGCAGTGAGCGGAGGTGTGGGCAACCCGTTATAAGCTGCTTCATCTGTTCCACCTGATCGCACTCCTCTTATCTGCAACTCCTGGGCTGCTTCAAGATCTCGCGATCCCGATACGAACAGCTGTCGCGGAAGAACTCCCGTTCTGGCAGCGCCACAACGGAGAGCGACTGCAGATTCACAAGGTCCCATTTGCACGGACGCCCCACTGGCAGCAGCCGCTCCAGAAGGGCAGAATCGCAGTCTCGACAGACGAGCATGCGAAGAGCCGTCACTCGCTTCTGGCCCTGCGGCAGCAGCCGCGCGCGTATCAAACTCCAGGGCGGGGACCTCTAGAGGGGTTTTAATTCCATCCCAGAGGGGTTTGACCTCCATGTCGTCCTCGGGGAGGAGGAACGAGTCGTACAACCCGGGGTAGTCAGGGTATTGACGAGACAAGTGTTGGAGTGGTTCGAAGCAACCACCCACGACGGGCAACATAATTTGAGACAAAGGTAACTTGTTCTTTGTGAGGTGTGCGTTTCTGTGCTTTACGTGTGAGTGTTTACGGTTCGTGAATCGCCTCATTGGTTCATGAGTTATGTGTGTTTCCGTGAAGGTTTAAGTTTGTGAGAGTTCATGTGAGTTCGTTTGTGTTCGCGTTATTTCGTGAGTTCCGAAGTTTGTGTTTCTTCATGTGTTTTCATGTTGTGTGTGAGTTCCGAGATTTCATATGTGTTTGTGTTATGTCATGATTTCTGCGCGTCACGAGTTTTTCGTGTAAGTGTCGTGAATGTTCGTGAGCCTGTTTCGTGAAGTGTTCGTGAAATTCCGTGAGTTTTCTGGTGAAGTTTGTGAGGTGCGTTTGTTGTGTGTTTTCATGAGTGAATTCGTCATTTCGTGTTTGTTCATGGGAGTTTGGGGAATTTCGCCCCTGGTCAAGACATTGAAGGGGTGTCGAGCACTATACTGACTTTGGCGCAATCATGGGAGTGGCGCCAAGCAGAAAAAGTGTGCCAGCATGTGCACACGCGAGGCCTGAGGCTGCAGATGGATTCGCCACACGCGCAAGTGGGGTGTGCAGGTGGCGCGAGGGAAAAAGCCGAGAAATCGTGGGTCCAGGCTGGATTTCGTGGGACCCTCGAGTGTTTTGTCTGCATTATTCGAAGAGAAAATTCGCCAGGGTGTTTCACGAAGTGCGCGATTAATTTCGAAGCTGGTGCGAAATGTGCGAGGAGGATTTCGACGATTTCGTAATTTCGTCGCGAAACTGAGCGAGTTCTTCAGGAGATTCCATGAGCTGTCACGAAGCTGTCGCCACGAGCGTCCACGAGCGTTCGTGAGCGAGTATGGCCCATAGAATTAAGTGTGGGCGAGCATGTTTCAACTGATTTCGCATGGTGAAAGCTGACATTTCGGAGTATGTTTCCAGCTATTATTTCGGTGGGCTGTTTGCTTTTGATTTCGGTGGGTTAGTATAAATATGTCAGAATGTTATTATTATCTAGCCTGTAGTGGGGTGCTCTATAGCGAGTACAACCCATCTAGGGTTTGCTATATGTATCCTCATTGCTGCTAGTGAAAACCCCTCTCTTTGCCTAAACTTTCTCTTGCCTAGCTAGGGTTCTCCTAGCTATGGCGCCTAATTCTAGGCACTATCTTCACATGGTATCAGAGCATTTTACGCTCCTGGCCTGTGGGCCCGCCTACTGCTTCCGCTGCTACTGTTCTACTGGTCGCGCGCCCCGGGCGCGCGACACTTTTTCATCCCGCCGTGCGCTCGTGGCGCACGGCGGTTTTCTGCCCGCCGTGCGCCTCGAGGCGCGCGGCGGTCTCGTCGCTCGTCGCGGCGCCCTGGAGGCCCGCGCGCTGCCCCCTCCCGTTGCCTCGTCGCGGCGCCCTGGGGAGCCGCGAGCAGCCCCCCGCTGCCCCGTCGCGACGCCCTGGGGAGCCGCGCGCGGCCCCCGTTTCCCCGTCGCGACACCTTGGGGAGCCGCGCGCGGCCCCCCGTTTCCCCGTCGCGGCGCCCTGGGGAGCCGCGCGCGGTCCCTCGCTTCCTCGTCGCGGCGCCCTGGGGAGCCGCGCGCCGCCCCCGGGGACGCGCGCGCCCGTCCCCCTGGACCCGCGCGCCCCTCCCCTGGACCCGCGCCCCACCCCCCGGGGACCCCTGCGCTCGCCCCCGTCGACTCGCGCGCCTTCCCCCGCGCTCCTGCCCCGTGCCACCCGTTTTAGGGTTTGGGGGTGGGGAGTGTGGGGGTGGCGGTTGTGGGGGTGCCGGTTGTGTGCCCCGTCCCCTACTCCTCCTCCTCCGTCTCCCGCTGCTGCAGCTGCCGCTCAGGGGGGTGGGTGTGTGGGAGCCGAAGGAGTGGTGCTAGGGGGGTGACGTGGGAGTGGAGCTAGGGTTCCAGCAGGGGGTGTGTGAGAGGGGGGTGGGACGGTCGGGGGAGGTTGAGCGGAGGCTGCCGTCTTGTCGTCAGCAGCACCTGTAGTCCGGGGCGCTGTTCCGGTAGCCCAGTCGTAGCCAGCTGCGCCAGTCGCCCGTGGGTCCGTTGCTCGTCTGCCGCACTTAGCCGCGGAGCCAGTTACTCCTGTATTCCGGGGCGCTGTTCCGGTAGCCACTGTGCCAGTATGACTCCTGTTGCCCGTGTGTCTGCAGCTTCAGCCGTCGCCTCTTGTCTCCTCTCCTCCTACAGTCTCGCCTCCTCCTCCTCACTTGCCCTTTGTGAATGCCTCTAGCTTTGCTTGCTCATTGTACTGATTACACCCCACTTTGGCTATGGGGGTGTGTCAGGATGTTATCGTTATTCTCTAGCCTGTAGTGGGGTGCTCTATAGCGAGTACAACCCATCTAGGGTTTGCTATATGTATCCTCATTGCTGCTAGTGAAAACCCCTCTCTTTGCCTAAACTTTCTCTTGCCTAGCTAGGGTTCTCCTAGCTATGGCGCCTAATTCTAGCCACTATCTTCACAAAATAATTGCTTGTTCTTGTTTGTTATCAACCTTTTCAGAATCATTCTATGAGAATTGGTTCCTCTTTCATCGTATTGACGTGAAGAGTATTGTGGAGACGAGATAAGTGATTAACAAGACGCTGCGCATTTAAGTGTGGGACTACTCTAGTGCGTATACACTGGGAGAACCGGGGACCCTAGGACGAGGGCCGGTGGAGATCACTTAGAGTGATTTAAGTGGTGCGCATAGAGTGGCCTAAAGGCTAATAGTAGCTAACAAGTGGTATCAGAGCTGGTGAATCGGCGCTTTAGCATTCTTAAGAGCGGACGAAGCCTTCAAGATGACAGGAGGCTAGTTCGGGCTCCTCTGTGAGCACTGGAGATCCCCAGGTTAAGGCTCTTCTGGAAATGCTAGCGCAAGGAAGGTGACCAAGCCCACCATAGGGCTGAGCGAAGCCCAACGATTTCACGGGAAGAACTACAGTACATGGCGCTTGAAGTTCATCAGGAGGGCGAAGGAAATCGGTTTTTGGGAGTACTACCGACCGGATAAAGAGGGCGACGCAGCCGCACGGAAGGCGAAAACGGATGAAGAAAAAGCGGCATACAAAAGGAGAAGTGAGCAAGCATTCTTTCAGTTGTGCCACTCAGTAACTGATGGAATTGCTGTGGGTATGGATCAGTTTGCAGAACATGAAGAACCTGCACGACAAGCATGGGCATACATGGAGTCGGTCTACCTAGGCCAAATGGAGAGCAACATAGCTGCGGTGCGAAGGAAATTGCTGCTGATGAGCATGGAGCCGAATCAGAAGATCATTGACTACATCAACCTCGCTAAGAGCTACAACAACGACTTGGCTGCGATGGGTGCGGAGGAAAATGAGCGTGCGATGATGGGATATATCATCAACGGGCTGCCGAAAGATTGGGCGGGAGAGAAGCCGGCGCTGATTTGCAATCCGCCCGCGAACATGACAAGGCTACTCGAGATGCTTCAAGCGTTGGAGTTGGCACGAGAAGATTCCAAGCGAAGGGAGGTAGCGGCTGAAGGCATGGAGCTGGAGAAACCTGCATTGCTGAATGCGGCAGCTGCGGGAAGAACCTCAGGAGCGTGTTACCAATGTGGTAAGATGGGGCACCGTGCGTTTGAGTGCGTGGAGAACCTAAGAAGCAGAAATTACAAGGGGAACGGAACGGAATGGCAGCAGAGACGCGGATTTAGCGGCAAATGTGACTATTGTGGCCGATATGGACATCGGGCTGCGGAGTGCTACGTCAACCCGAACAGCAAGTGCTATAAAGGTCCGTCAGCAGCAGCAGCAGCAGCAGCAAGAGCAGCGACAGCAGAACGTGGAGGCAAAGGCTAATGTGGCGGAAACTGAAAAGGAAAAGGAGGATGTAATTTTGGGGGGAGCGCATCGTGCGAATGTGGTGCGCATACCGAAGGAGGCAAAGCCAACGGATGGAAGGAAGAACATGGCGTGGGTCATGGACAGCGGGTGCACGCGTCATATGACATACAGGTCGGATGTGATGGAGAATCTGAGGGAGTCGAAGGAGACTCATATTCTGCAAGGAAACAATGAGAAGCTACCAGTGGCGGGAGAGGGCGACGTGACCCTCCAGAGTCCGTATGGGGGATTGAAGTTGGAGAACGTGCTACTTGTTGAGGATATGAAGGTGAACTTGATCAGCCAGTCCTAGCTTGATGACTTAATGTGCAAGATCTTCTACGATAGCGGCAAGGTCTTGGTGTTCGGTCCGGATTGGCAGATGTACGCGGATGGTTACTACAATGACGGGTTCCACGAGATGAGCTTGATAGCTCTGAACGACATGGATGAACACTATGAAGACGTTGAGATCAAGACGGGAGAGGAAGAGGAGTCAGCAATGGAGGCTGCTGAGATGAAGGAAATGGGAGACACGGCTAATGAGACGGCAGCGGTGAAGCAGGAAGTGGAAAGGAGTGTCAACATCGAAACAACAACGATCATGCTTGAAGACGAAGATGTGAAAGGTGATGGTGATGGAGCTGCACAAGAAGGACTTGTGGTGAAGGACATGAAGGCATTTGCATCTGCAAAGGAGCAAGAGTCTAAGGAGGAGGCACGAGTCGAAGACCACGGGATTCAGGAAGTTATTGGTGTTAAGAAGTCAAGGCGGAGTGCGAGGCTGAAGAAAACGGTTCAAGGTTTGGATGTCAAGGCGCTTAACTTCAAGCCGCGTAAGCAGCGGTTCAAAGTGCTGGAGCTGCGGGGGAGTACGAAGTCGAGTTAGATGTCAAGAAGCAGAGTACGTGGGGTCTGTGGTTGACGAACCACGGGGGAGATTGTTGGAGTGGTTCGTAGCAACCACCCGCGACGGGCAACATAATTTGAGACAAAGGTAACCTGTTCTTTGTGAGGTGTGCGTTTCTGTGCTTTACGTGTGGGTGTTTACGGTTCGTGAATCGCCCCATTGGTTCATGAGTTATGTGTGTTTCGGTGAAGGTTTAAGTTTGTGAGAGTTCATGTGAGTTCGTGTGTGTTCGCGTTATTTCGTGAGTTCCGAAGTTTGTGTTTCTTCGTGTGTTTTCATGTTGTGTGTGAGTTCCGAGATTTCATATGTGTTCGTGTTATGTCATGATTTCTGCGCGTCACGAGTTTTTCATGTAAGTGTCGTGAATGTTCGTGAGCCTGTTTCGTGAAGTGTTCGTGAAATTCCGTGAGTTTTCTGGTGAAGTTTGTGAGGTGCGTTTGTTGTGTGTTTTCATGAGTGAATTCGTCATTTCGTGTTTGTTCATGGGAGTTTGGGGAATTTCGCCCCTGGTCAAGACATTGAAGGGGTGCCGAGCACTATACTGACTTTGGCGCAATCATGGGAGTGGCGCCAAGCAGAAAAAGTGTGCCAGCATGTGCACACGCGAGGCCTGAGGCTGCAGATGGATTCGCCACACGCGCAAGTGGGGTGTGCAGGTGGCGCGAGGGAAAAAGCCGAGAAATCGTGGGTCCAGGCTGGATTTCGTGGGACCCTCGAGTGTTTTGTCTGCATTATTTGAAGAGAAAATTCGCCAGGGTGTTTCACGAAGTGCGCGATTAATTTCGAAGCTGGTGCGAAATGTGCGAGGAGGATTTCGACGATTTCGTAATTTCGTCGCGTAACTGCGCGAATTCTTCAGGAGATTCCGTGAGCTGTCACGAAGCTGTCGCCATGAGCGCCCACGAGCGTCCACGAGCGTTCGCGAGCAAGTATGGCCCATAGAATTAAGTGTGGGCGAGCATGTTTCAACTGATTTCGCATGGTGAAAGCTGGCATTTCGGAGTATGTTTCCAGCTATTATTTCGGTGGGCTGTTTGCTTTTGATTTCGGTGGGTTATTATAAATCATTGCTTGTTCTTGTTTGTTATCAACCTTTTCAGAATCATTCCATGAGAATTGGTTCCTCTTTCATCGTATTGACGTGAAGAGTATTGTGGAGACGAGATAAGTGATTAACAAGACGCTGCGCATTTAAGTGTGGGACTACTCTAGTGCGTACACACTGGGAGAACCGGGGACCCTAGGACGAGGGCCGGTGGAGATCACTTAGAGTGATTTAAGTGGTGCGCATAGAGTGGCCTAAAGGCTAATAGTAGCCAACAACAAGAAGCATGTGTCATGCCACATGGTGCCCAGCAGCGCGTCCGCCAGCTGCTCCGCGCCCAGCAGCTCGTCGCGCAGAAACGGACCCGCACGCCGCCGCCCCTCGATTTCTCCGCCGCACAGCAGCTCGTCCGTCGCAGGGCACAGCAGCTCGTCCGTCGCAGGGCACAGCAGCTCGTCCGTCGCAGGGCACAGTAGCTCGTCCGCGAACTGCAGTTGCGCGCGCGACGGGCAGCACGGCTCGATCCACCGGCGGATGCGGCGGGTGGTGGCGTCGGAGTCGGAGTCGGCGTGACTGGCCGGGCCTCCCAGGGCGACCTTCAAGTGCCGCCATCGAAGCGAATGTGCGTCCAATGCGCACGCGAGCCTGGTACTTGGAATAGACTCCGCGCTGGTTTCCGTGGTAACCATCGCCGCACGGCGCCGTTCGCGAGGAGCCGCGGCGAGGGAAATGCGACAGTCGAAAGCTTTTGCCGCCTATGGAGTTTTTTCATGGGGAGCGGCGCTGTGGATGGCGACAGGGAGCGGCGAAAGGACTGGGTGTTCTAGTTGTTGCTAAGGTGGTAAGGCAAGGGCTGGGATCAGCTAGCTAATGCAAGTTGGTTGGTGGATTGGCCTAGATGCGCATTGCTCGTCTCTCAGCTGCGTGTGCGGAAAAGGCAGGTGTAGTATATCTGTCTTGCCTGTTCACTCCTCTCGCAGATGGGCGAAACTTGACACGAATTAGGATTCTCAATGCGGCGAGAGTGGAACCCCAAGCCGAGTTGTCCGAGCGACAGAAAGCGTGCGACCAGAATCGCGCTCGTTGACCAGTGAGAATCCCCGTGCCGCGTACAAAGCGTGAGAAGGGGAAGGAAGCCATGTTTAGGGTTTTAACTCGTTATAGGGTACAAAACAGCATATAAGGACGTGTTGCAATTGGCGATGCACTGAGAGAATTACTGTAGAACCTTGTTCGGTGATTCATTCTTACTCGCGTGGCCTCGAATTACTCGAGTGGCCACCAAATTTGATGATAATTACTCGAGTGGCCACGCCAGGGCATTTTCGAGGTGTTTTTTTCCCCGGCATATTTCCCTACAAGGGTATGTTGCTACGATCAGAATGGGATCGCTCCCAGGACCTACTCAAGAAGGTTCGCACGCAGTTAGATAGTGTTGGTGGGCCCTTGACCTCAATAGCAAAGTGAATGTAAAATGCTTGAGATTGAGTAGAACATGCAAATACATCGATATAAATAAGAGTACAGGGAATTCGAATCGACCTAGCTAGCCATGTACTCTAAGAGGTACATTCCCTTATTCGAATTCGTTCCAACCGTGCGGCGCGTACAGTTACGAAAACTGTTCCCGCCAATTCCTCTTGCCTGCAGCTGCCGGATGTCGTCTGCTCCGACGGTCCGGATCCGTCCCAACCGTTCCGACGCTTCGAGTCAGTTCTGACTCCTCGTATTCGTTCCTGATACTGCATCCTTTTTAGTTTCGGTTAGGAGTGCAAGTAATGTCTCAAACATTACCATTCGTAACACCCCCCTTCACTCCTGGCCATAGCTTGTCTTGACATGCTTGACCACTCCGCTGAGTTCGGAGCAGTGCTGATACTGCTGACGTGGCAGTCGCTTCGTGAGAAAGTCTGCTGCCATGTCACCGGTCGGGCAATAGGTCAAGTCAACCTTGCCCTTGTCCACTTCGTCCTTGACGAAGAAATACCGCAGCGCAATGTGTTTGGTGCGGTTGACGAAGCCAGGTTTGTTCGCGATGCGAATCGCGCTCTGATTGTCACAGTGGAGGCGAAAGGTGGGCGAAGCTGGAATTTTCGCCTCCTGCAGGAGTTCCTGCAAGTAGAGTCCTTCGCGAACTGCTGCAGTTGCTGCGATGAATTCCGCTTCGGCTGATGACAGGGCAACCAACTCCTGCTTCCGTGAATTCAAGGAGATTGGTCCCGTTGGTTCGAGTCGGAACAGGAAGCCAGTCCTGGACCGTCGATTATCGGGGTCTGCTGCATGATCGGCATCCACGTAGCCGATGAGGTTGAAGGACGGGGTTGGTTCAGTTGAGTAGCATAGTCCAATCTTGGGCGTTGAGACGAGGAACTATAGGGCGCGCTGCAGATCCAGAAGATTCTCAGCCGTTGGTTTGCGTGAGTATTGGGCCAGCTGACTTGCGATGTAGGAGAGGTCAGGCCTGCATGTGACAGAGGCAAAAAGCAGACATCGCAGCTGCTGCTGGTAAGTCTGAATGCCAGCAGGGGATAGGGCTTTGTTGTCAGGTTTGTGGTTCGGTCCGGGAGTTCGGTAGGGAGTGGAGAGCGGTGCAGGTGAGATGTTGAACCGCTTCCCTAACTCCTCTGCGTACTTAGCCGCTGAGAGATGAATGGCCTCGGGCGCGTAGGAGATGTTGAGGCCTAAGAACTGCTTCACCTCGTAGTTGCACGTGATGTCGACGCGCCCCGCCAGGCTTTTCTCGAACTGCTTCAGTAGTTCGTTGCATAGATGAGATAATACACTTATTTATTCTCCAACGCGATCGCAGGCACTACCATGCGAGGTAGTTGCACAACCGTCAACCAGCACGTGGCATCTGCAGCTTCGATTTTCCTACACCAATAGGTTGGCAAATACGCGATATACCACCAATCACATCACGCATGCGATTCTCCCAAAGGTCTAATAAGAGAAGCTTTGACGTTGCAATGAGGATAACGACTCTGGAAGATTGAGTCTCGTAGAACGACACGTGGCATATTCCCTGTCCAGCAGCCGCAGCCAGAAATCGTTGAACGGTCACAGCGAGAAGTTGAGATTGACAGGTGTCATTCCGCTGGAGAATATTCGCGCCTCGCAAGCCCGATGAAGGAGACCTCTGGCACAACAATATCTTGAAGGTGAATCTGGCCCGCAGGCTGACGTGGATGTTTCTGATGTAGTCTGCACGCTACCTCGATCGCAGAGAGGCCAATGGGAGAATGCGTAGACAAACACGTGTCATCTTCATTTTTGCTTTACCTCCACCAATGCACGGGCAAAGCCCCTGTCTACGCCGAAAAATGACGCGGATGCAGAGTAGGAATCCGCGACTGATTTAGGATGCTGGCGTGTTAATGTATCATCTCGGTTCGATTAATCCCAACATTGTTTGTTGCAGACGTAGTCACCCTATAGTGTAGTGTCACAATCCCATGCATTCATATGGAGGATTGCGCTAGGTACACCGCTCAATCCATTGCCATGCAACGTCGGTATATCCGTCGACCGTGAGCTGGCATGTGTGCGGTGAAACATGCTGCGCGCCAATGCTAGGGCAGACACTCCACGTGACAGGTGCTATATAGAACACGTGGCCCCCTCGGCTGAGTGGTTCGTCTTCCAACTAAGGTGAGAAGGTCTCTATCCACTCCCATTCGACCCAACAGATTTCTCATGCGACACGCAGGACCGTAGATCATCGCAAGAGTTACGGTGCAATGTTGATAACGACTCCGTGGCGGAGGAACTGGCAGTGCTCCACGTGGCATGTGACACACCACCCACCACGGTCGCATGTCGACGTTGCGATGGACATCTGTGAATCCGTTGGATGTCAATCGCGTCACGGCACCTCACCCAAGACATCTGGTAAAACACCTCTACGTAGATGATAATGAACATCTCTTACTCGCGCAGATGTAAGCTTTGTTGGAAATCCACTTACTAATTGTTCGGTTACCTGGTCTGTACAGAAGGACAACTTTCATTGCACGCGCTTCTCTAACATCGGAGCCATTGTCGTATGTTTACAGGCAGTCCCTAGACGACCAGTACGGAATTTCGAGATTTATCTGGTGGCGTAAATCAGCTTATCTCTGAACGCAATGGCAGATCCTCTTATTATACGAGGTTGTGGGGTAGCCGTAAAGATTACGCAGGACGCTTACCAAGCTTTTATCTCGAAGGAAGAGGAGTGGAGCGAAAGCATGCTAGATTTCTCCATCTTGTAAGAATACTTATGCGGTCCATCACGCGGCTTCACCACGATCGCTGTTGTAGAATGAATTTCATATCTGTCGTTTACATAGCATCACCGGCCCCCTAGTGCATAGAGGACCAACATATTCTTCGAGCTCGTTTTCCGTCCCTCCCAGACTACAGGTGCTGGAATCTCTCACTCATAAGCATCGATCGAAGATTCGAATAGTGCCAGCTTCGACTGTTAGGACGAGATTGGCTCTACCGCATCGTCAGCCGATTCGTCAGGGCATAGAACACAGTCTTCTCTGTAAACAGGCTATCGTCATCCCCCTGTGGTCTCGGTAAACGACATGTGTTTCGATTGCACCGCTTTTAAGATTTGGTTCGAGCAGATCTGATCTAACGCTGATGCGGTTTTGTGCAAAGTATCGTTCAAGCCATCCGCATTAATAAGCTTGATGGTAGTTCTCCATCCTGACGATCTACTTGGGTCTTCGGGCTCTCCCTTCCGCACGCGCGTCATGCACTACGACCCCAAGTCCGGCGTGCCCACCCACACACACGCTGCTTTCGCCGAAGAAGTGTTCGGGTGAGTGTGTTTGTCCCCTTCCTTGCGTATGCGTATATGGCAGACAAACCCATCTATTAAAACTATTGTGGTTTCAGATGGCTCAAGGAGCAACTCCTTGTAGAACATTGTCCACAAGACACTGCGCTGACTTTCGAGGATGAGAAGCTCCGCGTGATGAGCACCAGACTGGCAAGTTTGACGCTCGAGCGCTGCACGGTAAGCTTGTGACACTGTGGTTTCAGCGGTCTTGCATTGTAAACAGAATACACTTCTAAAAACAGTGCTTCTGGTTTTTCTATTCACAGATAACGTCACATGTTGGGCGGACTGAGGTTGGGTCCGGTCAGCTAGTGTCGTATTTATGGGGTAAGCTGGTGGAAAATTGGGAGTTCGTGCTTTCGGTGCAGAGCGGGATACCATTTCCTGGTCTTGGCAAAGGAACATATTCGAAGGCGGAAATACTTGCATGGCTGATAACGACATGCCGCGATCATTTCGGGGGCCCCGCGAACAAGCAAGTAGCAGATCTGGTAGAGTTGGACGACGACGCGGACTCAGACTCTACGTGCGATCTGGCATCTGGGAAAGACGAGGAAGAAGAGGAAGCCGCGGAGGCGCATGCCGGCACAGGGGTGACGGATCCGTCTACGCTTTTGCTCACGCGGAAGCCGAGGACGCGCCATACCCAGTCGGGGGGTTTGTCAGATCCTTTGCAGAGCAGAGAGGCGGGGACGATGAAGGAGGCTCTACAAGAGGCCGAAAGACAACGGGTGCAGCGGCGCAGGCAGGCGGAAGGGAGTTCCCAGGAGGTGAAGCTGGGAGAGCATGCGGTGGTTCGGACGATGGCAGGAAGTAACGTTGAAACACCGATCGGGCAGCGCAGACAAGGCGGAGAGTCATCTGTAGAAAAGTTGAAGAAGCTTCTTGACGACGACCGAAAGAGTGGCCCGCCGGTGATGGCGGCGAATACGGATGCGTCGAGAGAGAAGCGTGAGGTGGTCGGTGTCGATGTTGAGGCGCTTCAACAGTCCTTGAAGCCGTTTATAAAGCATTACGTCGAAGAATTGATATTGCTGGCAGAACAGAAGCAGATGGCTGATTCCACGGCGCGTCAACGACAGTTTGCAAGGACGCTTAAGGAAGAGATACTGGGCGCTATGCATGGGAAGCGAAACACGGGGCGTGAGGTGGAAATCGAGGGGGCTAGCATGCTGCAGTCGCCTCCAGCAACGGCCGCACATGTTTTGTTGGCGCCTTCAATTCCAGATGCCGCCCCTTCCACCCCCCTGCAGCATACTAACATCTATGGCATGACGCTGGGTGTTGCGGTGGATGTTGAAGCGGTCGATAAGGAAGTACAGAAAGATGGTGAGAGAGTGCACATCGGCGTGCTACAGACAGGTGTGGGCAAGGGGAAGGTGCGAGAGGGGACGAAAGGGCTAATGAGGGGACCATTGGCGCATACCGGTTCGGAGTGTACTGCTGAAGGTGTCGGAGAGGACGTGCAGATCGTGGACAGAGGAGGCGAACACGAGGAGAAGGAAGCGGGAGCTCGGACGGCAAGGAGGGAGAGAGGGTGGCGGAGACTTTGGTTGAGAAGAAGAAAGCAGATTTGGACATCCAACTAGTAGACATGGAAGCGGAAGAGAAGCGTCTGGCAGCGAATGAAGAAAAGGAAAGAACTTGGGCTGCGGAGCGGATGAGGGCTCTGGCCTCGGAGAGGGCTCGACTAACTGCGGCACGACTTCAACTGAAACAGGAACGGGAACCGGAGGATCATGGTGGTGGAAAGCCGTCAATGGGATCCTCTGGTGAAGACAGGCTTCGTCAAGGGCCTGGACATTCGGAGGGGAAACGTGGGTTGAAAAGGCGGAGGGATGTGGAGACGGAACAGAGCGAGTCGCACACTGGTGCAGATGAAACGAATGCTAGTGATGTGGATGGGACCGAAGGAGAGGGCAAGAGTGTAAAGGTTTGTGCTGTAGCAGACGGTCTGGGTAAAGTGTACGGTGACCCTAAGCCATACAACGAAGGTGGGTTTTTCAAGCGGAAGAAGGCAACAGCGGCAGTCAAGTTTTGCTCTGAACAGACAGTTGGAGGGTGCAAGAGAAACCTGGGTAATTTCGAAAGCGAGCAGATGCGGAACTTCAGCATCGCTATCTGCTGGATGGCCTACACTCCAGACGCTAACCTGCTTGCCTACGGCATGGACATGGAGGATGTCCAAGCGTGGTCGGCCCATCTGAACCTCGCCAAGTAGATGCCAACAGGGGTCTGGAGCGTTCTCAACAAGCTGCACATCTCCAGGTTTGAGAAGTGAGTGACGTATCTTTCAATGCAATGTTGGAGTGTACGGTGTGCTCACATATCTCTGCTTGTTGACATTGCCCTCCCAACATTTTTGGTGTCGTCTTGAAGAAAACGAAGGAGCGTCTGGCAAAGGGTGCGGAATTGCAGACTGGTCTCTGCGAAGGAATCGGCTTGGCAATGCTGCTTGGCTGCACGGGTGTGGAACCAGCCCCAGACAAAGTCCCTCCTGCAGTGTACGCTTCTGGCGTAGCTTCAGCGCTGTACACGTTATGGGGAGCCTCGATTGGCACTCCAGAAGAAGACTACACGGCTGGCGCCTTGACCGTCGCGAACTGCATCGTCAACGACGAGGAGCTGTCGAAGAATGCGGCAGAAGCTGGTCGAAGCGGCGTAGTTGCAGTGAAGCAGGTCTCAGACATACAACTCATTAAGAAGGAATGGCCGTCTGTCTTGGAGGGCAAGATTGTCGAGATCCTAAATCGACCCACGTACGAGGTAGAAGTGACCAATCTCGCCAAGGTGGTAGCTAGGGTCACGGTCTACTGGTGTATGTGTGGCAACGCTTCGAGGGAACTGGCTCGCCACCAGGGCGCGACCCTGTCCATTTTGCCAACGCGACGTGGGCCGAGGCAGAAGGGGGAGAAGGGGGATGAGTGATTGACAGGTGCTGTGTAGTTAGAGAGTGCAATCGTTAAGCTGATCTACAGGATGATGCGAATAAGTGTGTTCATACCTCTACCGTTGCATAATGCTGTACACTGTTGATCCACCTAGAATATCATTGCATAGCCATGTCCACTAGTATGTTGTCTACTGAGCGATAACTAGGGGTTTTCTATATGAAAGTGTCACCACGTCGATCTGGACAGTTGAACAACTAACATCTCAATGTGAAGAATGGTGGCGCCCGTCCGAACTTCCACGGAAGACACTGACAATCTACACTTGCAGTTTTGAACAACGCACTCTACTGAGGCACGCGACGGTCATCTGTTGTCCAGCCCTCACTAAAGTAAACAACCACAATCTACCGACCCATAAACGAAAGACCCATTTGTCTGCAACCTCGAACCCAATGGTAATAGGAACAGCGTAGAGTTGCTGTGAGTTCGATGCAACCTCACAAAACATTCTGCGGTCTACACGTTACCTTTTAACCAACTCGACATCTTCGCTTCTAAGCTGTGTCCACGTATCCGTGGCCTAGTGAGCCATCTCCATACGTTTCGTGTACGAAAGTGTATGTACGTCAATCGGTGCGGTAGAGCAATTAACCTGTGAAAATGTAGACATAGTCAAGCTCGTCTGAACTTGCGGGTTAGCTCCACACTATCTACACCTGCACTCCTGAACAACGCTGTTTTCCGAGGCACGCGAAGTTAGATCGCCCTCTAAGCAAGGAACATATCACCATCTATCGTACCATAATCAATATGGTGAGACCCTGATACCGCTTAAAGTTGTCGTGAGTCCGACGCAGCCTCGAACGAAAATCTCCGCAATTCTCAGATCGGTTTCTAAATCGATCAGAATGGAACTGTCCATCTCTACCATGCAATAACCTAAAACACTAGTTTTTACAGCTAACAGCCACATGCACACCATCTACCTCGACAATGTTGAAGAGAGCACCCTAAACCCTTACTTCAGGTTGGTCTGTGCGGTTTCACGTCAGGATGTACCCTGGCATATAAAGGTCCTACGAGTCTGCACGTAGAGTTTATAGACGTTTCTCTACGCATGTGGCAAACGCAAACCCCATGCCCAAAAATACCGCACCACCTCAAAAAAACCCCTGATTCTACGCCCCAAGTCACGCGCCAGGCCTTTTCTTCAAAGGCTTTTGAGACTCTACGTCCTTGATCGTCATCCACTGGTCTTTGCCGAAGAGTTCTTCCCGCCACGTGTCGTCGCGCAGACCATTCAGCACGAGAAGGTACGAAACCCTCTCTTGCGCATCGTCCGTGAGGCTTTTCCCCCCAACCGTCGATGTTCGCTGCCTCTTCGTGCCCCTCTTCTCCTTGACGATTAGCCCGTCTGCGAAAACCGAGGGAGATGTCTGGAACAGCACCTCATCGAGCACGTTCACGGTATTGGTCGTCGCCTCCACCGAGTCGTCCACCCTGAACTTTTCCACCGCTAACATAGCCTTGTGGATGCGACCCAGCTGCCTTTCACAAGTGCCATCTTTGGCATCCAGGCGCACGGTGGGTTTGAACTTGCCTTTCTCTTCCTTGCTTTCCTCTCCCCTCTTGAAATGTGCCCATTTAACGATGAAGCCTGCATCCTCTGCAACAGCACGCAGTGTTCGGCCTTCGACAAGGAAGCTAGACTTGTTCCACAGCACCCATACCTCCGCAACTGTCGTGCTATCACACCAAGGCCGCACAACACTGTCGAAGTAAACGATCTCTGGTGTAGGTGTGGATGGCTCAGGGGCCGATGGGCCAGCAGCAGAGTTGTCGGCGCCAACATTGCCCGCGGATGAAACCGTGAGAGCGGCCAACTCGGCCTTGAGTTGCGCCAGCTCCTCCTGGAGCCTCTTGTTGTCGCTCTGCAGGTCACGCATTTGGGCCTGAAGCTCGGCGTTGCGGACGTCCTTCCGACCATTCTCCTCCCGCAAGGAATGGATCTCTGCATGCAGCTTCGCTTGCTCGTGCTCACCCTCGATACGGTAGATAGCATTCTGCGTAACGGAAACATGGTAGAATGTGAGCGTAATCACACTAGCAAGAATAATCTGCGACGAAAAATGCACTTACGGCCATCATCGACTGTCCCGCATTCTCCCTCATGTCCATGCCGTTTTTGTCCATGGTTGCAACAATTTTGGCCCACTTTTGAAACAAGGGCTCCTTGCAGAGTCGGCTTATCTCTACATACGGGTGACGCGTGCAGTCACAGCGTGGTTCATTTGGGTCGAACTCGTGGTGGCGACAGTGGATCCATATCATGGCAAGGTCTTGAGTGACCACGTCCCGACCGCAATTGATGAGGCACTCCAAAAACCTCCTCCCATAATGATGCTGCTTGTAGGGGGTCCTGCGACGGTTGTACCTATCGACCTGGTGGCGATGGAAAGGGTCCGAGTAGTAAAGATTGGAACATGTGAGTAATTTCTTTGCGCAGAAGAGACAAACCAAAATTCACGGGTTTACCTTTTTCAGCTGCCTCTTGGCCCAGCAGAAAATGTGCTTTCTGAAAAGCTTCTTCAACCGCTTCCATTTCTCTGGGTCTGGGCGAACAGCGTGTGCCCTGCCGATGTAGTAATCTCCCGCAGCTCCGGTGAATCCAGCCATCATAAGCATCGGATGAAACGGAATTCCAATCATGTACGCCTTCCGCATCTCTCCCTGCTCCCACCCACCCAGAGCGCCAATGTCATTATCGGGGCAACGGTCGTCGCTCAGCCCCTGTGCCCCCGATCTTCGGAAAATGTGGGTCACCTTGCTGAACATCCACTTTGCCTGTTTCATGACCCAGCGGATCCAGTTGTTGTGAGTCTCGTACTTCATCTCGTCTTGACTCTGCGGACCAGGGTCCTTCGGCTTCCTCATGCCAAAGAACAGGTGCTTCTTGGTCCACCTACGTGGCTTCCGAAAGTTGAGACGAGGCAAAACGTTTTTCCCGTATCTCATCGGAACGAGATCGTAGAGCCAATGAATCCACAAAAAAAACCCCCCAACACTGCAGAGCTGCCAGTCGATGTGCCTTGCCAGATACTGATGTGTCAGGTTATTCGAAAGATTGGTCTTTGTTTTCCTCGAGGCGATGACGAGCACGGGAAGGTCCATCTTCCCTTTTACGCGGGTGCTGCTGCGGCACATGCGGATGAACATGTTGGCGAATCGGATTTTCCGAATGGAGACACCCCTCCCCAGGACCTGGTGCACGAGCTGAATCATGACCTTGACGGCGAGGACCCTCCACAGCGCCTGAGATGGGAAATCCTTGCTCCTCGCGTGGATCTTAAAAGTCTCTGCGGGAAGAATGTTGTGATGCAGCTCCTTGTACTGGTCTGCGTTGTAGCAATCGTCGAGAGACCCACGGTGCTGATCCGCGCCGGTTCTGCACAGACAGTGGGTAGGCGTTATACGCTAAGCAATGATACGGAGCGACGATGATCGTCTACGACTCGTTGGAGTATTCGGTTATGAAATGCCAAGTAAGAGTGAGGTGCTTCACATCTGCCACAACAAATTGCTCACCGAATCTGCTCCTCGTTGAGGTTGACCAGCTTCACTCTCATAAACGTCCTGCCCTCCGCGACTTTGTCTTGCATCTTGGTAAGTGGGTAGTCGTACAGCGCAGACTCGCATCTGCCGAGGCAGCCGATAGCGTTCATCTTTGCCTTAATCATCTTTGGGGTGCTGGGCTTGGGCTCCCTCCCTGCAACGATAGACGCATCTCCCTTGAGGGTACGTGCTTGTTCAGGTGTTTCATGGAACAAGTACTCGAGGTAGCGGATAATCCTCCACCCGATAACCCGGGGTCCGTGCAGATGCTGCACGGAGTCATCCACCGATTCCCACGAGAGTTTCGCGTCGTCGCCCATGTACCTGCCAACTTCGTCTGGGTTGTCGGGGTCAATCTTTTCGGACTCTGGAATCACGTTTGCCAGCAGAGTCATCATCATTAGTATAACCCAGCGCTTGTAATGGCGCCAGTTGCAGGCGTACTGTACTCGTCGACATGCACGGCAGCGAGCATTTTCCTGTGAGCTCTCTCGGCGTCGCTCTGCGGTGGATCGCTCCCAAGGAAGCCGCTGTCTTCCATAAACAAGGGACGACGAGTGTAGCTTGAATTCTCGTCGAATAGGCCGTGCGCAGATCGTCTGCCCCGCCAGCGTCGTCGACGTCGCGCAGACCTTTGGCCTTGAGAGGGTTGCTGGTCCCCTGCAGATCGTTGGCCTTGAGAGGGCTGCTGGTCCCCTGCAGATCGTTGGCCTTGTGACGGTCGAGTGGTGTTTGACTGCTCAACACCTGTTAACAGAACTAGGCAAGAATGAATGAAAGGAGAGGGGTTGAACTAGCAGGCAGTTGAGTACAAATAGCAAACCCTAGATTGGGCTGTACTCGCTATAGAGTACCCCACTGCAGGCTAGACAATAATAGCATTCTGACACACCCCCATAGCCAAAGTGGGGTGTAATCAGCAGAGCAAGCAAAGCAGTACAAGCTCAGGGTGGATCACAATGTCACCACACATTCTGAGCACAAGTTCAAGAAGCAATAGTTTAAAGTTCACAGTTATGAGCAAAGCTAGAGGCAGTCACAGAGGGCAAGCGAGGAGGAGGAGGGCTGGCGAGAGGAGAGAAGATGAAAGGCGCCGACTGAAGCTGCAGACACACGGGCAACAGGAGCGGCGCGCACAGTGGCTACCGAGCGCACGAGGGCACCGGACTACGGGAGTATCTGGCTCCGCGGCTACGACGAGCACACACAGGAGCAACGGACCCACAGGCGACTGGCGAAGCAGGCTCGCTGGGCTACCGAAACGCGCGAGGGCATCCGGACTACTGGCGCTGCTGGCGTCACGACGGCTACCTCCACGCAATCTCCCCCGACCGTCCCACGCCCCTCTCACACACCCCCTGCTGACACCCTAGCTCCACTCCGACGGTACCCCCCTTAAACCCCAAACCCTAGGCTCCCACACACCACCCCCCTCAGCGGCAGCTGTAGCAGAGGGAGACGAGGGAGGAGGAGGAGCAGGGGGAGGAACTCACAACCGACACCCCCATAGCCGCCACCCCCACACTCTTCACCCCCAAACCCTAATTTAGGAGAACGGGCTGTAGGAGGGGTGAGGCGCCGGTAGAAGCACGGGGGACAGTGGAGAGGGCAGGAGCAGCGAGGAACGGGCCGCCCACGGGCCTGGTAGAGCCGCCCGAACCGCGCGCAGGCGGCCCGAGCCGCGCGCGGGCCTGGCGCTTCCCGTACGGGCCGCGCGCGGGCCTGGCGCAGCCCGTACGGGCCGCGCGCGGGCCTGGCGCAGCCCGTACGGGCCGCGCGCAGGCCTGGCGCAGCCCGTACGGGCCGCGTGCCGGGTGTACGGGCCGCGCGCAGGCCACGACGGGCGACGGGGGGCGACGCGCGGGTCCCCGTCGCCCGTCGCAGCGCCTCCCGGGGGCGACGTGCCGAGTGACGGGGCAGGAACCCGCCGCGCGCCTCGGGGCACACGGCGGGCAGAGAACCGCCGCGCGCCTCGGGGCGCACGGCGGGCAGAAAACCGCCGCGTGCCTCGGGGCGCACGGCGGGCTGAAAACCCTAGTTTCGACGCCGCGCGCCACGGGGCGCGCGGCGGACAGGGAGTAGCAGTAGCAGTAGCAGTAGCAGCGGAAGGCTTAGGTGGTGGGCCCACCCACAGGATCGACCCAGGAGGGTCGACCTGCTCTGATAGCATGTTAACAGAACTAGGCAAGAATGAATGAAAGGAGAGGGGTTGAACTAGCAGGCAGTTGAGTACAAATAGCAAACCCTAGATTGGGCTGTACTCGCTATAGAGTACCCCACTGCAGGCTAGACAATAATAGCATTCTGACAACACCCACACGCCCGGAAGCTCTGTTGTGGCTTGAACTCTCACCCCCCTGACCCTCCTCGTCGCTTTCCCCCTCCTCCATGTCTTCGTCACTGGCGTCGCTAAAATCGGTCTCCGTCTCTTCATCGTCCTCGACATCCGAACTGGCATCGTCGTCGTCTCCCTCGCTTGCGTCCATGAACTCGGCCTCCTCCTCTTCACCATCCCCTTCGTCTCCCAAACGTTCACCTTCGTTCAGAATCGGGTCCCCATACTCCGACTCTGTCTCCTCATCGTCCGCTTCCTCTGCACCTGCTTTCGGGACTCCCTCTTCTCCACCGTCCCTTTGCACTGCCACTGGTTCACGACCTCCCTCGTCTTCAGCAGCCGCATTACCCTCTTCTACGACTGGCTCGGGAGCCTCTGCAGCTTCGTAATACTGGTCTTCAACAAGGGGACTGTAGATGAGATCGTTGCCTGCATCGTGCGCATAGTCATCTTCGGCGTCCGTTAATTCGTCGTCGTCCTTGTCGTCGCACCCGTAAAGTTGAGATAATCGATCGCATCTGAGGACGTTGTACTCTACGAAGAAGAAAAACGCGCCTAGAAGGTAAACCTCACATGGGTTCGCCAACCTCAGTATGCACGTAAAAACGAACCGTCCTACAGGGGTACCGCTACGGTCGAAATGTGGTCTGTTAACTTCAAAACATAAGATGTACGAGGTCGTGTAGTAGTAGTATCGTTGATTAAGCAAACGTAAACTACGTAATGGATCACCCTGGCAAGGTATAACCTATCGCGACATTGTAGAGTGTCTGTGACCGTAATTGTCTTGGAAGAGTATATTATTCTACCGGTAGAAGAAGAGGCAATTGTAAGAGTGTGACCGTAGAAGATGAAAGATAGGTGCTGTGCTGCTATCGCTCTCTGGTAGAGAAGCGTATCATATAGGACATGCGGAACCTTCGAATCTATCGTGTTGCAAATATGCTTCTACAGCTGCCAGTGTCGATTTCGGGACGAGTTGCAGATCCTATGCTCTAATCTACAATTAACAAATTGGACGGTCGGGCTGCCAAAAAAAAAAAAAACTAGGCGGCCTAACCTAATCGTCTACAAAAAACCGGATCGTGGACCACGACGTTTTGCAGACTTTCTACGTGGGCTGCTGTGGGAGATGATAGGTGGAGGGGGTGGGGCGTTGAGGACTTAGCGAAATAAATAGACGAAGCGAGTGCAACAACACTTGGAGGACCTCACATTGGCCATCATGAAAACCGTGAACAAGAAAAAAAAAAAAAGAATCAGAATGAGGGTGACGACTGGCTTTGAAGCCCCACCTTGAGCTGACTCCACTAATCAAGTCACCCGGTTTTCAGATCTGGATCTCATGGCCACCCGCCAATTCCAGTGTCAACGGTTGGCTCCTGATTAACAGGGGATGCGGTCGTCAGGTATTGGTTCCCGCATCAGAGGAGAAACATGTTCGACGATTGGGCGACCCATTTTTGGTGTCAGAATACACCGCGTTGTTGATAGGAGTTTTCAAAACAGTGACAAGAGGAGGTCGTCGGCCGTCCGGGGGGTAACCTCGCATCTCGCGAGCGTTTCGCTGACAACTGCCCTCGCCAAAGTTGGTGTTTCATGTCGAGTTCGGCCTCTGCCCGAGCTAATTTTTTTGGTCAGGTGGGCGCAACAATTTGGGCCGGAGACCCGTGTCGTATTCGGCGGGGCCTTCCGCCCGTGCTGTGCTGTGCTGTGCTGTGCTGTGCGGCCCACCTAGCGCAAAAGAACGCGGAACTAGTAGTGCTGTGCTGTCCCCCCCTCCCAGGCAAACTGGGTGCGAGACTGGTTCCCGACTGGTTCCCGCTCGAGTCGGGGACCCAGGGACAGCACAAGTAGTTCCGGGCAGGAACAAAAGCCCCGAAAAAAACACGTTACGGGAGAGGGCAGTGTCCCATTGGTTACAAAAATTATTTGTGGCACTGGGTTGCTCTATTGCAACAGGCCAGCCAATTATCGTCGCGGGAAACATTTTCACGGTCTGCACAGCAAAACTTTTTCGAACGCCCCGCAGTTGCGCGTAGGGTGGCAGGAAGCTGTTTCGCACCACCGTGGGGGGTTCCTGGGTTCGCGGAAGCACTCCTCCGCACCAGTGGTGCTGTGCTGTGCTGTCCGCCCTCCATTTGCCGCTGGGCAACAGAACTGGGCCCAGGCGTTTTCGGAAATACAGGGAGGTGGGCGCAGAAGAAGCTTTCATCATCCCAGGGATGGACGTTGGCCCATGCACCGACCAACTTCTCCATGAGCTTGCTCTGATCCCAGCCCTTGCCTTACCACCTTAGCTTTGAAACCAGCAACGCCTGGAACGCCCAGTCCTTTCGCCACTCCCTGTCGCCGCCTCCACTGCTCCATCCACAGCGCCGCTCCCGGTGATCCTTTCATAGGCGAAAGCTTGCGACGTCGCATTTCTCTTCGCCGCGGCGGCTCCTCGCGAACGGCGCCGGGCGGCGATGTTTACTACGGAAACCAGCGACGGGTCGATTCCAAGTACCGGGCTCGCGTGCGTGTTCGACGCGCATGCGCTTCGATGGCGGCACTTGAAGGTCGCCCTCGCAGGCCCTGGCAGCCACACCGACCCCGACTCCACCACCCGCCGTATCCGCCGGTGGATCGAGCCGTGCTGCCCGTCGCGCCCGCGACTGCGGTCTGCGGACGAGCTGCTGTGCCCGGCGGACGAGGAGACGCGCTGCGTGGAAACGATCGGAGCAGCCGAGCATTCCGTTGTGAGAAGCCGCCGAGACGCTCACTCCTCCTCCCACTCGTCTGAAATCACCAGAGCACCAGCAGCACCAGCACCGGCAGCACCAGCACCGGCAGCAGCAGCACCGGCAGCAGCAGCACCGGCAGCTCCAGCACCGGCAGCAGCAGCAGCGGTAGCAGCAGCAGCGGCAGTAGCAGCAGCAGCGGCAGAAAGAGAGAGGCGGCGGCGTGCGGGTCCGTTTCTGGGCGACGAGCTGATGGGCGAGGAGCAGCTGATGGACGCGCTGCTGGGCACCACGTCGGAGTGGCATGACACATGCTTCCCGCGCCCTCACAGCCCTGACCACGTGTACTACGACTCGTTCCCCTTCCCAGTCCTAGAGGACGACATGGAGGTCAAACCCCACTGGGAAGCCCCAGCGGCGATCCATACGCGTTTAGAGCCGCTGCTGCTGTCGCAGGACCCGAAGCGCGTGACGGCCATTCGCATGCTCGCCTGTGGAGAATGCGAGTGGGGCCTTGGGAAGCTGCTGCCAGTGGGGCGCTCGTGCGTGAATCTGCAGTCGCTCTCCGTTGGAGCGCTGCCAGATCTCTACTTCCGTGGCCACAGCTGTTTGTATGACGAGATCTTGAAGGAGCCCACGTACTGGACTTGGCCGGAGGGTGCTCAGGTGGAACAGATGAAGCAGCTTATAACGGGTTGCCCACACCTCCGCTCACTACACTTCCACCTCAATACCAACGAATACCTCACTATAAGGGAAGAGGTCTTTCCCCTCCTCTCCCGTCTCGAACACCTCTCCCTCCCTCTCGCCGACCTCCCGCCTTGCCTCCTTCCCCACCTCTCCTCCCTCCGCTCCCTCCGTCTCTCCCTCTCCGCGCCCCAGCACCCTCTCCTCTCCGGTCGCCCCTTCCACTCTCTCCCCCTCCTCTCCCTCCTCCACCTCTCCCTCCTCTCTCCCACCTCACTCCTTTCCGAGCCTCTCTCACCGGACCTGTTTGCGGGGCTTGGGCCGAGCCTGCGGTCCTTGACTTTCCTGGTGTATGCGAAGCCGAAAGGGGCGGGTGGGGGAGGGGATGGTGGGGAAGGGGGGATGGGGAGGAGTGAGGAGGAGGAGGAGGGCGGATGGGTGGGGGATGAGTGGGCGAGGGAGGACGAGGTGCTGGGGTGGTTGCCTGCCTCGCTCTGGTCGCTCACACGCCTGCAGCACCTGAGCACCAACGTGGGAGGCGCCTGGGATTGCGCTGGACTCAATACCCTCTTCCCACCCCACGCCTCGCACTCCATCCCCCGCTCCTCTTCCTGCTCCTGCTGCTGTTGCTGTTGCTGCTCCTCCTCCTACGACCCCGACCCTTCCTCACACCAGCAAGAGCGCCACCACCATCAGTGCCTCTCCTCCCTCCCTAACCTCACCTCTCTCTCCCTCCTCTCTCACCGCACCTTCCCTCCCTGCCTCTCCTCCCTCTCCTCCCTCACTCTCCTCTCCATCCCCCTCGCCTCCCCTCTCCTCTCCCCCGGTTCGCTCGCTCTCTTCTCCCACTGGCCCCGCTTGTCCCATCTGCACGTCAATGGTGAGGGGCCTGCCGAACCAATCTTCCACTGCACCAAACCTGGTCCCACCGAATCTGCAACTAGTCTTACCGAACCTCCCTCTTACCCCGAAGCAACTCCTTCCTCCGGCTCCCTCCGCCACCTCACTCTCATGGGAACAGCTGGCGTCATCCCATTGGCTGTGTGGGGGCGCCTGTGCCCGCAGCTGCTCTCGCTCAAGATCCAGGGCTCGCCCCACGTGGCTGTGCGGGGGTCGGGGGAGCAGCTGGCGGAGGGTTCTGGGAAGGGGGACGTGGGGCTTGGCGCATGTGGTGAGGGGGAGGGCGCATGTGGTGAGGGGGAGGGCGCATGTGGTGCAGCAGAGGAGGCAGCTGCGTGCTTCTTCCCTTCCCTCGAGGAGCTTGTGCTGCGCAACGTGACCACCCATGCATCGCAGCACACAGGCACAGAGCACACAGGCCCACATCATCATCAGCGGCAACAGCAGCAAGGGCAGCAGAAGCAGGGGCACACTCTGGCATTCATGGGTCTGCTGCCCCGCCTCACCCACCTGGCAATCGACCACACCCACTCGCTTTCAGACCCCCCCACCCCAACGCACGCCCCCACCATCCTCCCGCCCCTCCTCCCCAACCTCACCTTCCTCCGCATCCACTCCCCCCCACCCGCCCCCCTCCCCGTGCTGCCGCACCTGCGCACGCTGATAGTCGGGTCGTACCCTCACTCCTCCCGCTTCCTCTCCTCGCTCTCCCTCTTCCCCGCCCTTACTGCCCTCCGCATCTTCAACCTCTCCATGCACAACTACCAGTCCGCGCTCTCCTGCCCTCCCTCACTCAAAACCCTCCAAATCTGCTTCTCCCACCTTCCTCTCCTCCCCGACCCCCTCCGCCTCTTCTCCTCCCTCACTCGCCTCCACCTCTTCCAGTGTTCCAAGCTCCTCGCCCTGCCCGCCTGCCTCTCCGCCTTCTCCGCCCTCGCCCACGTGTCCTTTGGTCCTCGCTATTACGACCCTGTGCTGCCCTGCCGCCTCCAGGAGTACCTCCGGGGGAAAACCTGGGAGCGGGAGGAGGCAGGGGAAGGGGGAGCGGAAGGGGAAGGGAAAAGGGAAGGAAAGGGGGAAGGAGAGGGAGAAAGGGGGGAGGAAGGGGAGGAGAGAGAGGGGGAGGGGGAGGGGGAGGGGGAAGAGGAGCAGGAGGGGGAGGGGGAGGGGGAGGGGGAAAGGGAGGGGATGCAAGCGGGGCAGGAGGTGGAGGTGAGAGGCTCGCCACAGTACGAAAGTGCCTCGAATCCTCATTCGCACAACCAGTCGCAGTTGCCAGCAGAGGTGTTACCAGCAGAGGTGTTACCAGCAGAGGTGTTACCAGCAGAGGTGTTACCAGCAGAGGTGTTACCAGCAGAGGTGTTACCAGCAGAGGTGTTACCAGCAGAGGTGTTACCAGCAGAGGTGTTACCAGCAGAGGTGTTACCAGCAGAGGCGGTACCAGCGGAGGTGCTAGAATGTGTGTTCCAGCGGATTCAGCTGCATGGGGACGAGGCGAGCGTGAGAGGGTTGTGCCGTGAGTGGCGGCAGTGGTGCCGCCTGCACACCTCCTTCTTCGCCCTCGCCTTCCACCCCCTCCTGCTCTCCTGCCTCCCCCTCGCCCTGCTCCACCCCCCTCCCCCCCCTCCCACTCTGAACCCGGACGGCAGAGGCGGCAGCAGGAGAAGCGGCCATGGGATGGCAGCTCACGCCAGCTCCCCTCTTTCGTCCCTCTCATGGCACCCCGCCTTCTCTTCCTTCTGCGTTCTCCTCTCCTCCCCCACCTCCCACACCTTCTCCCTGCTACCCTCCTGCCCGCCTCCCCTCGCCCTCCCCCATCCCATCACCCCCTCCTCCCTCTCCTCCTGCTTCATCCGCCACTATCCAACCACATGGGACCCAGAATTCCCCCCCATCTGGCTAGCCTCTCTCCCCTCCCCCGCCTCCCTCGCCCACACCCTCACGCTCTACCCCAACCTCTCTGCACTCCTCCTCCCCATAGTCTCCACCGCATCTCACCCCCTCCGCCCCTCCCATGTGCGCTCCCTCCTCTCTGCTGCCGCCGCCCTGCCCGCCCTCACCTCCTTGTCCGTGCTGCTAGAGCCGGGCTTCAGGGGAGAGTACGACTGGGGGTACGGGCGGGACGAGCTGTGGGAGATTCCTGAGGAGGAGAGGGAGAGGGAGGTGCGGCAATGGTGGGGTGAGACGAACAGCGAGGTGGAGAGGGGGCTGTTTGCTGTGCTGAAGGGGTGCCGCGGTCTCAAAGAGCTGCGCATTCAGGGAGAGAACGTCGCCCACTGGCTCAAACTCCCCCTCTCTCTCTTCCTCTGCTGCACGCATCTCACCTCTCTCTCCCTCCCCCTCTCCCGCCTCCCCTCCTCCCTCCTCCGCCTCCCTCGCCTCACCTCGCTCTCCCTCGCCCTCCCTGAGGGGCACATGCCTCCCCAGTTCGCCCACTCCTCTCCCTTCGCCCGCCTCTCCTGCCTCCGCTCCCTCTCAATCCACGTGTGCGAGAATGACATCAGCAGCTGCAGCAACGTGTCTTTGGATGACAGCAGGTGGAGTGGGCTGTCAGAGGGCCTGCTGCTGGGCCTGCCGGCGTGCCTCTCGTCCCTCTCCCTGCACCTCCCCACCACCACCATGCCCGCCTCCTTCTCCTCCCTCACTGCCCTCACGCTCCTCGCCACCAACCTCTGGATTCCAGGGCTGCAGGGAGGGCAGGACGAGGGAGACGGAGGGGTGGGAGAGGAGGAGTGGGAGGGGGAGAGATGGGAGGATGAGGCAGAGGAGGAGAGTGGTATAGGCGAGGGAGATGAGGATGGTTGGTGTGATGCCGATTCGTGCCCCAACGGAGATGAGGATGCTTGGTGTGATGATCATGATGAGGGTGAACTCCACAACTCAGCTAGTGCTTCAAGCATTCACCACAACACATTGCTGCCTCTCTGCAACCTCTCTTCTCTCACGCTCTCCCGCTGCTGCTCTTTCCCCCCACTCATTCGCCACCTCACTCGCCTCACCTCCCTCTCTCTCGGATCCTCCGATGCCGCTGGGATGGGCTCCACCACCCGATCCTGCTCACTCCACCATGGCCTCTCTCTCCTCACTCGCCTGCGGGAGCTCTCCCTCTGGTGCGACAGCTTCTCTCAAGAGCACCTTCCCCGCTTGCCCCGCCTCCGCCGCTTCCACGTGCAAAGCGACAATTATGAGATTGTCAACATGACCAGGCTGATGGCTGCTGTGGCGCACTCTTTGGAGCAGCTGCAAATTGCTTTTGTCTTTACCACTCTCTGCAGCAGAGGAAGCACCACAGGGTTGAGCTTCCGGAAGCTCAAGCTGCTACACCTGGAGTTCTTGACGGGCGATTCTCGGGTAGACATGTCTCTCTTCCCTGCCCTAGAACACATGGTACTGACAAAGGAGGTCGATGTGTACTGGGAGGTGGAGAGCGGTTTCTCGTCTAACCTCCGCTTCCTGCAATTGGGCTATGCTGTTAGACTGCCTAAAGACCCTGGTGACCGAGAGCATGAGCTGATGCAGCTCACGGCGCTCACCACTCTCATTGTGGACAATGCAGACTACCGGGATTTCCTTGCCGCCCTCTCCTGCTTCTCCTCCCTGCGCACCCTCCGCCTCTCCAACATCACCCGAGGCTGCTCTGAGCCCCACTTCTCCTGCCCACCTCTCCTCTCCACACTTCAGATCTGCTTCTCCGACCTGCCCCGCCTCCCCCCCTCACTCGCTCACTTCTCCTGCCTCACTCACCTCGACCTGCTGCACTGGCGCCACCTGCACTCTCTCCCGCCCTTCCTCTCGTCCTTCTCGTCGCTGCGCCACTTGAAAGTCACGTGCGATGGGCCCAAGCCCACACACCCTGCTTGCCTGAAGGGATTTCTTCAAGGCAGGGACTGGTACAAGTATTCGCCATGTGACGGCAGGGACTGGCATGAGCATTTACGTCAGTAATGTTGTCAGTAATGTTCCTGCGAAGATTGTCAAGGGACACTGCTCTGCTGTGTCGTGAAGTGTACAAGAGTGTGTGGTGGAAGTCTCCGTACAAGATAAACCTACCTAGCTCCTATCAAAGGCACATTGTTGAAGGATCATTTCACACATGCAGGATCCACGCATAACCCAAGTGGAGCCCAGCGTGTTCCAGCCTTGGACCATAAAATTGTCATGGGGATTCGTTACTACTCAAGTGTGGTTTGTTACATCCATGGTTGACAATCTAAAAAATTATCACAACAAAGCCTGGCATACATTTCTTCAAGCAACACCTCTATTCTATTGTACGGTAATATCAATCTCCAAAGAAACTTATCAGAACCTTGACTTTCTTTTCCATGCAGTATACTTAGTGTCTCTGGGAACATCCATGTCTCCTCGCTGCCGCCGATGCTCCTTTTTCTTCAACACCCAATTCCTTCCCTTAGCCCCTATCCCATTCAGCTTCTGCTTCTTCCCAGGCCAAGGCAGGGCAAGGCAGTGCGGCAGCCAGCAGGGCGGCACGCGGGCAGGGCAGCGCGACTGGTGGGGCAACGCAACGGGCAGGGTAGGGCAATACGAGCAGGGTAACGCGATACATGCAGGGAACTGTACGGTGGGCCCTAAAAAAAAAGGGATCCTGGAACAGGACCTGCTCTGAATCCATGTCAAGAAACTAAGCGAGAACGAATGCATTGAGCAGAGAAGTGGGTACAAATGCTAATCCTAATTTGGGTTGTACCCCCTTATGGGTACAACCTACATAGCAGAAACATCATTATAGTTTGACACACTCCAAGAAAACTATGAAAGTTCAGAGTTAGCCTAAAAAAAATCTGAAATGTTCAGACTTGAGGCCCTGAAAACTCTGAAAATTTCAGAGTACAAAAAAAAAAAAAAAAAAATCTGCAATATCAGAGTTTTTCATGCAAATCAGAGAAAAAAGTCTGACTTCTGAGGGCCTGCTTGTAAACTAATTCAGAGCCTCCCTTTACAAGATACGGTAGCCTAGATTTTCCCTTGGACCGCAGATAAGATATATATGTCTACTATCCGGGCGATGAGAGTACCGTATCAGCCCAATGTGTTCCAGCATTCGCCCATAAGATATTTGTTGGGACGCGTTTTTACCAGTGCGATTTGTTACAGCCATGGTTGACGATGAAGAATCACAACAAAACCTGCCATACCGGTACGTTTCTTCGATTAACCTCCATAATTTCAAACAAACTAATCTGAACCTTGACTTTCTTTTCCGTGCAGTATACTTAGTGTCTCTGGGAACATCCATGTCTCCTCGCTGCCGCCGATGCTCCCTTTTCTTCAACACCCAATTCCTTCCCTTAGCCCCTTTCCCATTCAGCTTCTGCTTCTTCCCAGGCCGTTGCCTCTGCCGCTGCTCATAACCCACAGTCCTCCCTTCCCCATCACTCTCATCGCTCCCGTCCTCATCCTCGCTCTCCTCACTCTCCCCATCCCCCCCTTTAGCCTTGGGCATTGGCCGGCTACCAGCAGGGCCAGCTACGAGACAAAGAAAGTATTTCTTGGCTCGGGTGCTGCCCACAGTCATTCGGATTAAAAGAACACCACACAGGCGAGGGAGGGGGAAGAGGGGAATAGGGAAAACCGGGGAGGACAGACGGGTAAGTATGGGGTTTTGGGGAAAGGGGCAGGAGGGTTGGGGACGAGGGAGGGGAGGGGGGGGTGGGGGGGGGTTGAGGGGGTGGGGTTCGTTGGGGGTGGAGAAATAGAACGACAAAACAATATATGAATCCAATATGGTGCTACAAGGGGAGAACAAGTCCAAAATCCGCATCTCACAACCAAATAGTATCATGCTCTGTTACAGTCAACTTTATGAGTAGCCCACGGTCCACCCCACCACAAGCTCGCCTGTAGAAGCCACCTTTGGAGTAGTCACTCAGTCTCAAGCTGTGCTGTAATCACCTGTGGGTAATCACCCAGTCTGACTTTACTTGGTCTCTACTTGGTTGCATTTCACAGCATGAAGAGCAATAGCAAACCGTTTTTTTTTTCCCTTTCTTTTAGGATCTAGGTGAAAACGACAACCCTTAGTGAACGGATGTTGATGGAAGAGGTAAAATATAAAAGCGATACTGGATGGAAGGGAGGAATACCAAAGAGAGCAAGAGAAGGAAATAGTTAATCGTTTTCTTAACTCACCTTAGAAGTTGGAACGGAGGGGGTCGTAGCTGGAGGAGATAATAGCTGAACAGCACTAGAAACAGCGGAGGAGTAGGAAACCGGCAGCGAGAAAAGAGGAAACGAAACCCTAAGCAGATATGTGTTATTCCGAAATGACATCTTTGTTTGTTACGATACGAAGTTTTATGAGAAGGCATTCCTGTATGCTGCAGGAGCCGACTCTACCGAGTACGAAGTCGAGGAGTCAGAAGAATCGAAGCGACACAGCAACCGTCTGACCAAGACCGATGCGGGAAGAAGCATTTGAAATGAAAAGAGCGGGAACAGGTTTGAAACCGATTCCCGCGCCGCACGGTTTGAATTTGGCTGCAATAAGGGAATGTACCCCTTAGAGTACATGGCTAGTCTAGGACGTTTTGCATTCCTTTGTATTTCTATATAAACCCTGTGTCTGCATGCTATTATCAATCTCAGTCATTTACATTCACTCTGACCTGAGTTCAACACTTCCGCTGCAACACTACTTGCGATCAACCCTGAACGATCCTCTTCTAAAGTCCCACCTCAGATTGTAACATGGTATGAGAGCTACTCAGGGATTCTTCGCAACGTCACTTCCGTAAAATTCGCCGAACCTAAATCTGGCGAGCGGCACACGCTCCAAGACCAAGATGGCCGGAGGATCTGGAGGCCAAGCAAATCTAACGGCCGAAGGACAAACCAACCCGGCTGCGACAAATGAGGCGACAACCACGATCGGCACTGCCGCCCTCGAGCAGTTATTCGCTCGACTGTCAACCATGGAGAAAGAACTCCAAGAACTGCGCAAAGGCGATGCGGGAACCACTTCCCAACCAGCTCAACCTGGACAACCGGCTGCAAAAGGCCGCGATATCGCCACGCATGGCTTCTCCCTCGATTCAGACAAATCCGCAACAGCTGCCCCTCGTCCAAGCGACGAAACAATCAACTCTGCGCAAGCACGCTTTCTCAGCGTTTCAAAAATTAAGACTACTGCCGCATTTGACGGCAAGGATTTCTACACATGGAGTTTTGAGCTTGAGCTCCTCCTACAGACAGCGCAGATCTACCACTACTTCGATGGCTCCTATCCTAAACCGGCGGAAGACACAGAAGACGCCCGGACTCAATACTACAGTGAGTCCCTCATGGCGTACAGCGTTCTGCTACGCAACATGACATCCGCAGAACAGCTCGGCATTCGCTCCTACAAAGAGAGCGCCGCTCCAGCCCTAGAAGCCTGGAAGCACCTCGTTGAGGTATATCAGCCGAAGGACTCCGTCACCGCAAGCAGACTCCTGCAACAACTCATGGAGACCAAGATGGGGCACGGGGAGAAAGCAAACAGTTACATCAACCGTTGTCGGAACATCCGTGATCAAATCATGAAGAACGGAAGCTCTATTTCGGAGGAGATCTTTGTCAGCATCATCCTCCAAGGACTCGGGCCTGAGTGGAAGCCCTGCAAAGCACTACTCCGACAACGAGGAACCATCTCTGAAGCCGCACTAAGCGCCGCACTGCTGACTGAACAGCAGGACATGGATTGGAGCATAACAAGCTCCGCGCCGCGCCGAGAGCGCCTCGCCTTCTACGCAGACAACCGTGAAGAGCGACGACAACCCAGGCGCCACTATTGCAAAATATGCAAAGTCTTCGGACATTCAACGAATCGATGCAAATCCCGATCTAGTTATCGCCACCCGAATTCCATTCATCACAACAACTGGGTCGGCCGACAAGACGCTCGTCATTCTGAGCCTTAACAACACACCTCTCGTCCACCTGCACAGCAACAACCACAGCAGGCACAAGGACCTCAAGGAGGAGCTACCAGAAACGTGATCGCCACGCTGTGCTGATTCCAAGACGTCGTCGCACCGCTGAACCGAACGAAGAAGATGGGATTCAAGGAGGGCTACTTCAACCAGAGGAAGGATACAATAATCCCCTCACGGAAAATCACTACTATGGGTACGACGAAGACGAGCAAGATTGGCATGTGCCGATCACACTGCGGGAAAGCCCGCCACACGACAACCAGTCACTACGTACCTGTGGGATGGAAGGAGGATGAAGACCCACTATTTCACAAGCGCTACAAAGCAACACTGGTAACTCCGTGACTCGCACTACTCCTACGCAACAACAACACCGACAACTACAACCGCTGGTACCTGGACAGCTGCTGTGGACAGCACATGGTGGGGTCCGTCCGATACGTTTCGAATCTAAGCCGCGCCCCCGCTACCTATGTCACCGTCGCCAACAATCATCAGCTACGCGCCAACGCACAAGGCATCGTGGTCCTGCAAGCACGAGACAGCAACACGCACATCTCGTTCAACGACGTGCTCTACGTCCCGGACCTCCGCTTCAATCTTCTCTCGGCAGGACAACTTCGCGACTGCGGAGTCGTGCTCACTACGGATCTGCCCACACGGGATCTCATCCTCACCCACGCCCCTCCGGACACACCTCCCGAGTCGCACAAATACCTTGGGCGGGCTCGGTCGATCAACGGCATCTACGTTCTGGACTTCGACATACCAAGCTGTCAGGCTTCGTCCAACGAGCTCATAGATCTCGTCCCCCTCAATTTCCCTTTCATGAACCAAGAGTCGTGGGAACATCCAGACGGAAGACCGTGGATTCGCCGAAGCCCTCATCCCCGCCAAATCAACCTGCACGAACCCGACATCAACGGCCTCTGCACCACCTGCCACACGCCCACGGCAAGCCGCACGGAACAAGTTGAAAGGGACTATGCGGCAATCCAGGAAGCAGAGAGC